CCCTTCTGAAAACACGGTGGTTTTTTCAAACTCACAGGAGGAGAAAGGCATTTGTAGGGTGGTGTTGGGATATTCCTTTCAGATCTGAGCCCTCAGTGCTCCCATCCCACTGGATTTGCCTTTCCCTGTGTTTTCCTCCAGTTCACTTCAGCTTCTTCCATGTCTCACTGGAAATTCTTGGAGGAAAACACAGAGCATGTCCCCGATCTCCTGGGAAGCTTCTATTTAATGTTCCTTGGTTTTAGAAAATGGTAACAAAACAGAACACGAGATGGCTTCAGACACTGCAAAAATAAACTCCAGGCAGACGCCGCAGGTTTCCCTGAAAACAACCTCACTTGGAGAGTCCCACCAGAAAAATGATTTGTTGGATATTTGTTTGCTCACTGCTTTTTAACCTTTCAAGTAGGAACCAGACCCTGGTTAGGGGCTGCTTGAATTTTAAAAAGTATCACAGCCCTGCTGAGCTAATTCTGCCTGTGTTTTAATTTGATTATTTAAAAATTATTTTATTATTTAATTTATTAATTAAATAATAATTAATTATTAATTTATTTTATTTATTTAAAAATTTTATTATTTTGTTTTGTTTTAAATTATTTGTTAAATTGTTTTATTTTAAAATTATTTTTATCATTGAGTCCTTACTCAAATAGGTAACAGCTAAGTGCCCTAAACCTGCTGAAAGATGGGTGTTTGTTTTTTTCTTCTTTTTTTAAATAACTTGTATGGATGGTGAAGCAGCTTCAATATATTTACAGCTCAGTGGCTATTTTCCTAATCCCGTGTTTGTTTTCCCTCGTTCTCTTTGTCTCAAAAAATGTAATTTTTGTTGTCAGGGAGATGGATTCATGGCTTGTCTGAAAAATAAAGTAACATGCAAATGGTTGAGTGCTCTGCAGAGCTGTTGGTGCTTGTGTTTGGTTGGGGACCTTGGAGATTTGGGGGTGGTGGCTCTTTCTGTTTGTGTTGATGCTGTGCTGTCAGACTGGGCCTTTCAGAAGTGTTTTTCTTGCTGCAGTGCATTTTAATTCTGAGGAACTGAGGGGACAAGCCACTTAATATTTTACTTTTTATGCTGTGCTTAGTTTAGGGTCTTCTCTCGTATTTAAAACTGAGTTGCCTTCAGTTTCAGTTAAATAAAAGTCTCTTAAGTGGATTTTTTGGGACACCACAAAGCTAAACTCAAGCTTATCTCTGGCTTGGTGGAAACCCGACTCCATCCTACCCTGAGATGTGGTTTGGGTGCTGGGCCCATCCATCACTGTCAGACCCCACCTGTGCCAGGCATTAGACACTGGTGACCCAAATCTTCCCTGTCCCAGCTCCTGAATCCTCTCATTACTTCCTGATTTATCTCCCTCATCAAATATTTGTCCTGCTGTCCAAAGCTAAAAGCCAGGCAGTTGGAGTCATTAAAGGATATATGGAGGTGCCACAGAAGAATTTCCTAGGAAGCTTCAAGTGCTTTGACCCAGGCAGGTACTTGAAGAGTTTAGGAAAGCAGGAGCCTGATACTTTGGGAATGTGTGTTTGGAAAATAAACCTCAGGACATCCACCCAGGGCATCCCCTGCAGGCTCTGGGGGGCCACATCTCCCAGCTTTCCTGAGCAGCTATGATGGATCTCCAGGTGGGGATCCCTGCACATGCCAGGATTTATCTGCCTAGGCTTGTGTTTGTGTAGCCAAACAGGAGAATGATGGAGCAGGAATGATGTGCCCAGGATTTGGGTGTTGCCAGAGGCCCCAGGGATGGGTCAGGGCTTTGTCTCAGCCCCTGGCAGCAGCGCTGAGCCTAAAGCTGAGCAGAGAGCTGCAGGTACAGCCAGACTGGTGCTCGCCAGTGCCTGAATAATCCCAAAAGAATCTTTAGGAAGATTATGATAAGCTTTGAAATGGTAGAATTAGAGCATCATCAGGGTTGGAAGAGACCTTTAACATCATCAGGTCCAGCTGTTGACCCACCCCTGCTGGAACCATTAAAACACATCTCCCAGCTCCAGATCCAAACAGCTCCAGGGACAGGGACTCCACCACCTCCCTGAGCAACCTAAACCAATGCCTGACCCCAAAAACGGTGAAAAAAATATTCCAATATCTAACCTTAATCTCCTGTCTCTGTTTAAGGCCATTTCCATTTGTCCTCTTGCTGTTTTGGAAATGTCAGGATAAATCAAACTCTCCAACACTGTTTTTTTAGTGTTGGAAAGTAGACATTGCTTCAATGACAGCACTGGGGTAGTTCCACCTGGATGTGAAAATAAAGAGGTTTTTCCCAGTAAATTACTGCATACAAAGGCAAATGAAGGAAAAGTAAATAAGGTGGCATTTGAGGGCTTGAGGATGTGCTGGGATGTTGGGAGTGCTGGTGGGGATGGAGATATTCCATGTCTGGTGGAGGAGCAGCTCAAGGGAAAAGGCTGAGCTGGGGAAGGGGTGGATGCTGAGGCATGGGAAAGGCTGGAAGCTGAGCTGGGGAAAGGCTGGATGGGGATCCAGAGGAAAGGTTGGATGCTGATCCAGAGGAAAGGCTGGATGCTGATCCAGAGGAAGGTCTGGATGCTGATCCAGAGGAAAGCTGGATGCTGATCCAGAGGAGGGTCTGGATGCTGATCCAGAGGAAAGGCTGGATGCTGATCGAGAGGAAGGTCTGGATGCTGATCCAGCACAGCCTTCCCTCGTTGGGAGAGCGAGTGGCGCTGGATTCTGGCAGATAACGCCAGACAAGCATCCCTGTAAGCATGGCTGGGATTGTTCTGTGGGGGAGCTGAGCCTGCTGCCATCTGCTCCACAGAGCCAATTAAACGAGCGGGGTGGGAAGAATGAAGTACAGATGCTAATGGGCTCTGTAAACTGCAGGGCAAGCTCTCCTAAATATTTAGACTCTTTTCCTGACGTTGTGTGTGGGGCTGACTTGTGAAGTTCCCTCATCTTCATTTCAGGTTGCCACTTAGCTCTGATTCTCTGCTTAAAGTTAGGGCACTTCTAAGTCAGTGAAATTAAAGATGTTTGGTTTTTTAGCCCTGGGGTGGAATTGTGCCCAGGAATTCTTTAAGTAGGGAGCAGATATCTCAAGTAGGGACTGGACCCAGGCAGGGGCTGAGCAGTTCATGTGTAGCCTCGGGGTTGGATTCTCAATCCTTACTCGATTTTTACTGTTTGTTTACTCGTTATCTTAGTTTGACAGAGAAATTCCTGCTTCCCTCTCTCTGCCATGCACAGTGCTTTTAATTAAAACATCAGAATATACCAGAGCATTTTAAAGAAAATAGTTAATTCAAAATCAAGCAAAAATAGGTTAAAAACCAAGCCAAATAAATCCCTGCAGGCACTGTGACGCTTACATAACCATGGATGGTGTTCTCTGGCATTATTTTGCAAGTTCATAAATGAGCTACATGTGAAAAGGGTGGAAGAAGGGTCAGCTTTGTGTCAGGGACAGAAAACTCCATTCTCAGGAGCTGACAGTTGATTTCCTCCTCATTCCTTTTGATGTCTGCACACTAAACGCTGCGTGGACAGAAAAATTCAATTCATTTAAAACATTTTGCATCAAAATGACATGCTTTAATGTATTTCCTTCTGATGTTTAACTTATCTTTTCATCTCATGAGGGAGGAAAAAAAAAAGGCAACATGTTTGTAGTTAAAGTACCCAAGCAGAACTTTAAACAAAAGTCTCAATGAGGAGGAAGTCTCGATGTACAGGCAGCTTTTAAGAGTAGGTACCTTGTTTTTTTCACCCTTCTTGGCTCTCTGAGCCTTGTTAGCCAAGGAGATTTATTGCTGCCCTTCCAAATGCTTCTTCAGAATGAAGAGTTTGCATTTTTGAAATTCCTCAAGTCCTCAGGAGGAGAGGGATAAGGGGAAGTGATGATGGTGAGCACACCAAAAGGATTTTCCAGGCTGGTTTTGCCAGTCGGTAACTGTGCTGGGAGGGAATCAGCTGAACCTGCATCAAAAAACTCCTGGAGCTGTGGACTCCCAGAGTTGTCAGGGAGATGAATTGGGATGAAATCTGGACTTTTTAGTAGTTGCAGTTGTTAGTGCTGATAACACAATCCAGGGTGTTGAGGAATCCCTGTCCTTTGCCAGCTGCAGTGTCACGTGTGCGACTCAGCACTGCCAGAAGCGGGATCCATTCCCTCTGTGAAATCCCAGCTCTCCTGGAGAAATGTCTTAACAGCCTAAATAACCTCCATTTATTGCTGTTACAGCTATTGAGACCACTGGTATCAATATTTTAGGAATATTAGGAATATTTTAGGGATACCATACATTTTCCGGTGGGCATGACCCCACTGTCCCCAAGGGGAAAGCTGTCCTTGGAAGTGAGAGATCTTGGAAGAGAAGCTTAGGTGATCAGCCAAACTTTTTAGCAATGCTGTTGGTATAACCCCAAATCTTTCCAGTCTTATTTTTCAGTCTGGAAGCAGAATATAACAAAGTGTTGAGTGTTTCTGCCTCTGTTTCTGTAAAATTCCTGTGAACTGAGCTTCCCATGGGAGGACACAGCTCTCACTTCTATCTTCTGATATAACTTTTTTATTTCCTTTGTTATTGAGGAGGTTGATCTGGTTGTGTTCAAATCAGGTCTCACTTGTCTCTCTTCCACAAATTAAGTTTGTCTAAATTTGGCTCCCAGCCCCTCATGTTTTATTTGGAAACAAGTACTTTCAAAAGTTGATATATTGGGTTAAATGTTTAGCAGAAGAAGGGTCATAGTTTGCACGTTGAACTATTTTTAGCACCTCATGTCAGTTTGGTAAATAAGCAGATGTTTGGGGAAAAACCCTGTTATGTCTTTACCTTCCGAAGTCAACCTTTCCATGCAGATCCCCCCATGGAGACATAATTCCCCTTGGGAAACCTGGCATTGGGAGACTCCCCAGGTCCTTCTCTCACCCCATTTCCTCACCCATCCACCTTTTGGAGCTGCTTTCCTGTGACATTCATGACAAAAAAGCCTCTCACACATATTTTCTGGTTTTATCTTGCAGAGGATATTCAACTCCTTCGTGTACACGGAGAAAATATCGAATGGAGAAAGCGAAGTTCAACAGGTGAGACCAAAACCCCTTCCCAGCTCCACTGGCAGAGTGAGCTCAGGGAATTCTTTCTGTCTGGATTTGTGGCCCCTTTCTAACCTCAGATCACAGCCAGTGGAATAGGACATAAATGGGGATGGGCTGCATGTGCTGATGATGCTTTTGAGAATTTTGCATTGCCATGAAAAGCTTTTCCATCTGTTTGGTGTGGGGCTGTCCCTCAGAAACAAAAGGACCCTCATTAATTGTCAGGTTTTCATGTTGAAAGTGTCTCTTTTTAAATTTCAAATTCAAAGTAAACCTATTAATATTATTATGATGTGGAAATGGTGTTTTGTGGATGTACAGGACAGCTACAGCCTGGTGCATCACAGGTGTGGTTTTAATTTTGTGATGGAACACATTTCAACATTTAATTTTCAATTTGACATTGAGATAATACATGGACAGTTTGCATTTTAATACATGTGAATATTTTTAAAATTAATTTTGGATCAGTTTTCAAACAGATCAAATAGGTCATGTTTTATTCTTGCAGAAATTAAAGTACCGGTTTGTGGTAAAGGGGATGGGTTTTGGTCCAAGAAATGGAAAAAAGAAACAGCTTTTCTTCCCAATTTAAGCATGGACTTACTCAAACTTCAGGAGTAACCTGACCTTCCTAGACCCCTATCAAACTAGTTTTAATGTTCAGAAAAAACAGAAGCTCCTCAGAGTGGGGCTTTCCCAGGGGAGGAGGGAGTTGCTGCTCAGCCCTGCAGGTAGCCCCATTGTGGTTTCCCAGAGCAGGTCAGTGCATGGTGTGTTTGTGTGGATTCAAACTGCTCATGGAATGCAGAAATAATTTACACTCCAGGTTGTGCTTCCTGGAAATGCTGACATTTCCAGACTTCTTTAATTATTTTACTGAGGAAAAAGTCAAAGCAGAGCTGGCTCAAATGGGATCATAAGGAAATTTTAGATTGGAAAAGATCTTTAAGACCATTGGTTCCAGAACTGCCAAGGTCACCTCATGTGTCCCCAAGTGCCACATCCACATGGAGGGACTCCAGGGCTGGACAACCCTTTCCATGAGGGAATTTTCCCAAATACCCAATATGAACCTCCCCTGTCCCTGTCCCTGGGAGCAGATCCCAAATCCCCCCGGCTGTCCCCTCCTGCCAGGGACTTGTGCAGAGCCAGAAATTCCCCCTGAGCCTCCTTTGCTCCAGGCTGAGCTTTCCCAGCTCCCTCAGCCTCTCCTGGGGCTCCAGATTCTTTCCAGCCTCCTGGAGGCTTTGGTTTCCCTGTAGGCATGCCCAGGTGGGTGCCTGGAAGCAGAGAGACCATGGCAATGTAATTGTCACCATGATTTTAATGATTTAAATCCCAAACCATCCCGACATCCCGCAGGATGGGTTCTCTGGCTCTGTGCTGTGCAGCATTTCCAGGAATGTTCCTGGGTGGTCTGTGCACCACAGAAGGGCCATGTGGGCTGGATCAGACGTATCAGATGGCTTTTGAAAGGCAAAAGTGTTTTTGGGAAACCAAGAAACTGGATTAAAACTTCTTTGAAGTCCTGACTACAGATTCTCTGCTGCGGAAAAGACAGTCCTTGTTCCCCAGAGCAGATGTCCTTGTTCATCCCAAGTGGATTTAAAGGGCTGTCCAAACACTGGAGGTGGGTTGATGGATTTGGAGCTGTCAGGGGAGAAAACAGGGCTCTGGTAAAGTGTAATTACTGTGGTTAAAAGCTCTACAGTGAAGTGGATGGAAGAATAATTGAGCACTTCTGGTTCATTAATAACCAGGTCTTTTAGCCCTAATGAATCCCCAGTAACACAACCTGAATTTTACAAGAGTAGAACATTGAATGGGATCATCTTGAGCAAAGGCAAACAAATGTAAGCAAATGAAATCCCCTGCCAGAGAAATCTCATTTCTGCTTTGGTCATTCATTAACATTTTCATAGCAACTGATATCCAAAGGCAATTAATGACAGTTTGATGTCAGCTGGGATTGTTTTGTTTTGGCAGAGCACTGAATTGTAGTGGGGGTGGTGGGTTTTTTATACCAAACCATGTAAATAATGACTCTCAGTTTATTGAAAAAGTGAAAAACTCCAGCTGGCCTAACTGTTCAATACCTTTGCCTTTCTTTGTGCCACACAAGGAGCGGTTTTACCTCTCAGCATTGAACTGGTTACACTTTTAAGGTCTGCAGTTATAGAATTACTGTTGTACCTGACAGATAAAACCTTTTCTGTTTTGAATAGGTTATTAAAAACGGGATGACAATGGCCAAAAATAACTTGGATTCCTTCCCTGTGAGTTATTTGAGTATCAGAGAACTCTCATATGATATGAGAATGCAGTGGTGTGAGTTAGTGATGTAAATAAAGTGGGAAAGGAGGAGTTTTATGAGGGGAAAATCTACATTAGCTGATTCCAAGGAAGTCAGTGTGTGCTCAGTGTCCTGCCAGACATCTGCTTTCTGTGATGTGGAGAGAAGGGATCTGGGCTCCACGGAGGAGAGAGGCTGAAATGCTCTCAAGCAGGAGATTTCCCAGCTTTGAGGAGAAAAGGCTTGAAAAGCTCAGACCATGTTGGATTTTTAGTTTGGTTGGTTTTGGACTGGGCAAAGAAGTCTTTGGGGAGGAAATAGATCTGAAATGTGCTGAAAAAATTACATTTAGCTGTGGAGCACAACACATTCCCTGGCTGTGAAAAGTGGCGTGTTCACACACAATAATGAATCGTGAGCCTCACAATAAAAGGCAATTATCTGTGTTTAATGTACTTCCAGAATGAGTCAGGAGTTGTGGCCCTCTCTCTAGCTTTTGCTGTGCATCTAACATCTTCCTTGGAATAAATCTTGGGAAGCTTTGCCAAAGGTACTGGCCAGTAGGAAACCTCAAATGAGTGCTGGTTTCCGTGACAAAATGAACATTGGAAAGTGGTTTCCTGCATCCTGATTGCAATAATGAAATATATTTTCAGTGTCATCCAGAGAAGCAGGAAAGGGGACTTTCCACAAGGGAGAGTGGACTTGAGTTGGAAGTTTAGGTGGGATTTTAGGGAGAAATTCCTCCATGTGAGGGTGGGGAGGCCACAGAAGCTGCGGCTGCTCCTGGATCTCTGGTCGGAGCACCCTGGGATAGTGGGAGGTGTCTCTGCCATGACCCTTAAGGTCCCTCCCAACCCAATTCCCATTCCAGGATTCCATGGATGGTTAGAATCTGTTAAAACAGAGGTGTGGGATGAAGCTGGAGGTGATTCTGTGATCCTTCCTTGAACCATGTCCCTGCTGGCCTCTGGCTCTTCAGGGCTGGTACAAAACCAGTGCTCTCTTCAAGAGCCACACATTTATTTAAAAATAAATAACATTGAAAGTTTCCTAGGCTAGGAATCCATGGATGCACAGTTGTGATGGAGCAGCAGGATGAATGCCTGGTGGGTGATGGAGAGAGGTGCTTTTTTTCCAGATTTTTCTGGTTTACAGAGGGAATTTAAACCTCAAAATTGTAACTCAACTCTTCCATGTGTAAGCAATCCTTTCCGAGGAGCTTGACAGTGTTATATCCCTGGCTGTGAGTCCTTCCTGGCATCCCTGCCTGTCAACCCCACTGATGCATATTTTATATACAGCCTTGGAAACATGAAAAATACCTTGTCTTTCAAGCTACAGCCAGAAATAAAACCTCACCTTGGAGCTCTGCTTTCCCTCAGAGCTCCCAGCAAAGGGAAGTCTTGAGAGCTGTGGAGCTTTGAGGGGGAAGAAGCTTTCAAAAAAAAAGCTCGAGGGAACAATGCAAATGAGGGAAATGTCTCAGGGAGAATTAGAGGAGCTCAGTGATGTTGTGATGAAAGGTTGTCAGTGGAGATGGTGACAATTGAAGTGCATTACCCAGGGGTGCTGCAGTAATAGAAACAGGTGTTACAGTCCAACCTGTCTGCAAACCCAAGGGCTTTGGCTGCGTGTCAGCTGCCAGAGGAAATCCAGGGAAAAAGCAGGGCTAATGGCAGCATTGTTCACAGACAGCACTCACTGCTTATTGTTTTTTTTTATTAAAATTGAGGAGAAAACAGAGAAATCTGAAAAGTGCCCATGAAGGCTTTGCCTTGCTGTTGTTTTTGAGATGAGGTGAAGAGCACTTTGTGTAGGATAATAATATTTTATGTCAATCTCAAAGTATCCAGATTGATTTCAGTCTCCATTAAAATGGTGAATTGGAGCATTTTTGTGGGAGCAGGAAATGTCTGTCACACTTGGTACCCACTCAGGTGTGGAACACCCCTGTCCCTTTTCTGTGCCTGACTGGGGACACAGTTTTCCAGTTTGCCTTAAAAATGCTTCAACAATTATGTAAGCATGGTTTCATAGTTCAGTGTTCTGTCCTTTCATTATTTGTTATCTCTCTTTCTCTACTTTGGAGGTTTTGTGACCAGTGTGGGTCTGGCATCCATCAGCATCCAGCAGCTCTCCAGCTCCAGGCAGATTAAAAAAAAGCAGGGTATGTGTTGGATAAAAACTCCAGGTTTTTATTTAGAAAGAGGAGAAGGTGATTTAAGCCTGCAGCTTTTACTGTGACAGGCTCCAGCAGCTGAGTGCATCACCCTGCAAAGGGAATAAAGTTTGGGAGGGAAGTGAAGCCCAGCTATGAAAGAAAAGTTTGTTTTGTTAGGCTTCATCTGGGTGATACTTCTCAATTTGATGAATTAAAACCATTTGTTTCCAGTACTTCATTGGTGTGTTACCCTCAGTTTCCCGTCATGGTTTATTAATTTGAAGAAATTTTCAACAAAAAATTCTTTTTGGATCATCTTGCCCTTGGTGACTTTATTGAGTTTGCTGGTTTTGAAGTGGTTTGGATTGTTGGGAGCATTGTCTTGTTATCAGAGAACAATATTTTTAGAGTTCTTTAGATTAGACAAAGTCAGTTGTTCCAGCCATGGGCAGGGATTGGTGTCTGGAGCTCTGGGAGGTTTCAGATCCCTCCTTGCTGACATGCACTTGACTCCGTGCCCCAACCGAGGCGCTGGATCCCATTTCAGAAAAATTACGGGATGACTTTGAGCCATTCAGAGGTTTTTCCTTGGGAGACGCAGTTTGGGAACAAAGCATTTGCTTTTTGTCAGCTTCTGAAGTACAGGATCTTCTGAAAAACAGATTTGTCAGATCTTTAGACTCGGCACAGCAGGGTGAAATTCAAAGGCTCTGGGGCGCTTTTATCGTTCAACCTAGAAGGTGAAAACTCATCAACACCGAGTCCTCAGCTTGTACAGCATTCATTTATCAGACAGCAGCCCTGATTCCAAGCCAGAAGCCTTTTGTTCTGGGGCCCTGTGATGGTTTTATGACTGCTGATGATGCTCAGCAAACTTCCTAATTTCAGGTAGGGAAACCAAGAGAGAAATCTCAGATTCACATATCTGGTTTACCTTGGCATTTCATTTGCCCAGACTGAGAGGAGAACTTTGTTCTCACCAAATCTAAGGGCTCTGATTTAGGAAACTTGGCTTGTGTTTGTTTGAGACCCTTCAGGAGAATCCACTTCTAAAGAACACATTGGAGGGTTACAGCCTGACAAAAAGAAAGTTTACTGGAAACCAGGAAAGGATCTCCCCAACAGCTTATTATCTTAACAACTGGGAGCAATTTAATAGTGCTGGATGTCTAATATGGAGGAGCCCATTAGCAGTCCTCTGGTGCCTTGGCAATAAATCATTCCACAGAACTAATTAGGTGTAATTCTGCAAGTCATTTGAGCGGGGTCCTATTAAACCTGTGCTCCTTGGAGACGCGTCCTGGAGCCGCAGCATTCCCGGGGAACAGCGGAGGCAGAGCAGTGCTGTATCAGCGAGGCTCCTTCCTCACAGAACCAACTAAATCCTGACTAAATGGCCTGTTGCTAAGAGTTAGGAGAGACATTTGTTAGTTCAGGGTGTCTGGAAAATCCAGGGCTGTTTCCCAGTGCACAAAAGCGGCAGCAGAAACGCAAAAAAAAAAAGTTGGCAGAAATGCAAAGCGTTATTTCTGATCATTCAACACCTCTGTCTGTTGCTTCGAGATGATTCTTTCATTTGGGATGTGTCTGGCTGATTATTAAATACATTAAAAAAAAGCCTGATCCATTTCATCAGTTCCTCCCTTTGATGAAAGACGGGGAGTGAAAGTCTCAGTAAATGTTCCCTGTAAAACCTGAGGCCTCCTGGTAGCTGTGTTTAGGAGCAGCCACAGATTTTTCCCATTTTCCCTGGCACTCATTAGGCAGGCTCCTTGTGAAGTGCCTAATGAAGGGACACAAACGAGCTCTTAGTGACAGCACAGTCACTCCAACAGCCTGGGATGTGTCCCAGCAGGCTCGGCCCTTCCCAGCGCCCAGAATCTGCCTGGCATGGAGAGGGCAGAGGTGGCACAGGAACCACCAGCCCTCAAATCACACCAGATTGGAAGCAGTTGCTGGAAAAAAAAAATTAATTTTACTTCTCTGTCTTGATAGGACATTTGTGTTTGGGTTCTTTTCCCCCTTGGACTGAGGTTGATGAGAGAGAGGCAGTTTTCTCTCCTTCAGACTTGGTTGTTTATTCTTCTTTTATCTATATTACATATATACAAGGTACAAGGAGTTATGTGCACTAAGAAAGGTGCAAAAGTGGCTAACAAAGATCTTCTTCAAGGCATTTTATATGTCTGTTTACCCAATTAACAAATGCCAAGTAAATTATTTTTCTTAATGACCCAATGACCCAACACCTGAGTGCTGCAGTGCATCATTCTCTATCCAATCACTCATTGCTACCCAAAAACCTCTAGAAGAAGAAGAAGATGAAGAAGAAAGAAGGACAAGAGACAACAGCCTGAATCCTCCATCTTGTCTTCTGTTTTCTAAACTAGTTTAAACTCTAAACTTTAACTTTTTCACCCAGTGACTTAAGAAAATTTTCTAGTTTATACACTCACACTCTTGGTTTTTCTATTTAACAGTTGTTTTCAGGGTGTTATATGAAATTCAGTGTTTTCTTGGATGTCAGAGGCAGGTATCAGAGATAAGGGCACACTGTCTGTGCCTCTGACTCCAACACTTTTCTTTTAATTATTTTCAGAAGCATTTAAAAAGAAGGGCTGAAGTACCCAATTTGTTATTTCCAGAGTGAGGCACACTAATTTTTTTTAATGGTCTGAGAATTGTATGGGAGGGGCCACAACCTGTTTGTTTTCACATTCTGAAAGGAGAGAAATTTGCTCTTATAAATCAGAGTGTAACCTCTAAACCTTGTCCTGATTTATAAGGAGTCCCTTCCTTAGAGGGACCTCTGACAACAAAAGGCTTCAGGAGGAATTTCACTGGTGTGAGGCTTCTGTCATTATTTTCCTGCTGCCGTATTATGACATCAATTAGAGATTTTTCAGTTTGTGGTTGGAGCTGTGGGTTGTGAGCAGGCACAGGGAGCTTTAGATCAATGAGGAAAATCACCCAGGCAATGCTCAGCCCGTGGAGCCTCCCAGGAAAGCAGAAGGGAATACAGCAGCAAAGCAAAATCTGGGATGGTTATTTTGCCCAAATCTCCATGAAAGAAGTGGTGAAATACTTCTGCAGTTCCACCTGATGAAGAGGCTGCTGAGGAGCAGAGAAACATTCATGGCAGTATTTGGGGTTATTTGGGTTCCTTGGACCCTGAGGTTGCTCCCATCAGTGGAAGATTTGCTGTTGGCTCTTTGCTCCTGCAGCAGGAGTTCTGTGTAGGGGAAGGCATCTCTAACACCATTATTTGGGTTTCTCTGAAGTGTCCATGTAAAGAACTTCAATAAATTCACTTGTGGCTTGGTTTATTCTCCATCACACCCTTATCAGGCCTTGGAGCAAGCCCCTCAGTGTCACATCCAGCTGTGAGTTCTTAGTGAAAGGGAACTTTATGTGATGTAAAAACACTTTTCATCCTGCAGAACTCTGCTGAAGCACCCATTGCTGGATGGTAAATGTATTTTATTTTCTGGTATAGTCTCCTTGCTGCAGCCAATATTAATTACTTGACTTCTTGAAAATAAAAGCACAATGAGCAAATCAGAAAACAATTGTCTTTAACGCAGGTTTTAATTGCTTGATAAAGAACAAGGTAATACAGAGAAACTGGGTTGATTTTAAGCTTTCTTATGTTTTTTTTTTTCAGTTGGCAAAAAAAATCCGTGAGAAATTCAACCGTTACTTGGACGTTGTGAATCGGAACAAGCAGGTAGTGGAAGCTTCATACACTGCTCACCTCACCTCACCCCTGACTGCCATCCAGGACTGCTGTACCATCCCCCCATCCATGATGGAGTGAGTATGGAATTCTGCAATTCCTCCTGCTCTCATTTAATCTGCAAAGAAAATGAGGGTTTCTTTGTAAAATAGCCCGAGTTTTCTGCTGCTTTGGGTAAAAATGGAGAGGGCACAATTCCAAAGGTGCCTCTTATCTTGTCCTCATTTTCTTCTACATTTCTCCCACACCAGTGTTTAATGATGGGCTTTAAACAAGAGCTGGGAATCAGCTGGAAGCAATAAAAAGAAAGTTTGTTCATGGTGTTCTGTACAAAATGAGTCTGTGTAGATCCAAGACACCGTTTTTGCACGGAGACACTGCTTGCCCTGAATAACTCTCCTCAAGCTGGTCATGGGACCATTTTCTGTCCTTTGAAGTATCCAAAATCACGAGTTGGTGAGCCCATCACATGCTAACAGCACTGTGTTCCAGTTTAGTCAGGTTGACGTGCTGCTGTTTGATAGTAGAGGTTTAATGAAATCAAGTCCATCGCTTGGGAACTGGGTTTGTTCATGTTCAAGTTGCTTTGGTTTTAAATACAGGAATTTGGAGTAGGGTAAATCCAGGCAGTTGGTTGTCTTTAATCATTTCTATTGTGCTGCATATTTGCAGAAATTCTTTTGGGTTTTCTAACTGTAGAAATGTGTGATAGAAGCTGTGATTTTTCCAATAAAATAGGAGTAATTTTCTTGAAATGCTGAACATATTAAACATTTACTTCCATGTGGGCTTGAAAAGAAGAAACTTCCTGTTTATACAAACTTTGATTACAGACTGATTTTTACTGTTTATATTTCAGTCTGATTTGAAAACATTTGAGAGGGAGGGAGGTAATTTGGGTCATCAGGTGACTCCAAGGGCACAGGTTTGGAGGTCTCTGTGCAGTTCCTGCTGGACAAGGTGCCTGTGGAAAATGCTGGCACATCCAGGCTGTTGGCAGTGTGGACAAAAGGGTCAGGAATTCTCTGAGGATGAAAACCTCTCTGTGCTCTGATCCCAAAATCCATGCAGGAGTCAGCAGGCAGCAGGAACACCTTCCAACCAAGGGCTGAGGGGAAGGAGAAATGGGATTTATCACCCCCTTGTCAGTGTGGCCTCATTTTTCATTAAAAAGAGAAGTCTGTTTTTATTCTGGAAACTTGAGTGGATTCCTTTTCACTTTGTCCTCCAAAATTATGTAGCTTGGAAGTCCTTTAGAAATTTCTTTACCTGTGGTGAGCTTGCATAAGAATCATTGCCAGTAAGTGGTTTAAAACACGAACAGCTGGCAGAGGGGTGAATTTGCTGTTTGCACAGCTCCTCATGCAGGCTTTACAATATAATTCTCATTATTTAGTTGCTTGGATCAATAATTAAATGGTTCCCAGATCAGTTTATCAGCTGCAGGATGTTCTGGACCTTAGCAAGACCTGGTTGAGGTATATCTGACCATTGGACCTGGTGCTGACTGGAGGAAATCATCTGCAAGACAAAAAAAATAGCTTAAAAGTGTATTTTATGTTTGAAACTTCCAAGTTTTAGCTCCGTGCTTTGTTGCTTGCCTGATTTGTCTAAATGCTTCTGCCATCATTTCAGTTTTTCTCCCCTTTCTGCCTCTCCCATCTGCTGCTCTTCCTTTCATTTTCCTTCTCTGTGGCATCGCCTTTCTGGGAGATTCCTCATTTTGATTAAAATATCAGGAAAGAAACTGATTCACCTGGATATTGTGATCTCATTTTGAATTCTTCCATGTTTAATTCATGGACTAACAGGGCCTGCACTTGCAGGAAGTTAAATTGGATGTGCTACTGCTGGTAACAGCTTATCCTTGGTGTTTAAAATGTTTAATGTTTGTGTTAAAGCAACAATAATTATATTTTTTTGGTTAAAGTATTTATTAATTGCTGCTGCAGAAGAGGTCAGGTGGACAAAGACCCAGATTTGGCTGTGAAAATTGCTTTTTCCATGAGATCCTTTGCCTTAGATCGTGCCTTGGCCATGTCTGAGTCCTCAGGGCTGTGGTCTTCGTTCTGGGACGTTGTGAAATGTTTGTGTTACAGCTCCTGAACTCTGTGTGTTCTTTTTTCTGCCTGTTTCCTCATGTGGCCTCTTCATTTGAGCAAACATTTGGGGCAAGAACAGTGTCAGAAGTGCGTTATCTTAAGGTATTTTTAGGTAGGTTTGAAGGTTTTCCCCACAGCATTTAAGGCTGTTTATCACATGGTGTTCAGCCTCTTATTGTCCAAATTATTGACATTGAGTTGGGAATGGTTTGAGTTTGGATTGGTTTGGGGAAAATTAACTTGGGAAGGATGAGCTATTCTGTAGGGAAAGGATATTATTATTATCATTATTAATATTAATAATTTCATTTCTTTATTTATTTTAAATGGATTGATGACAGTTTCTATTTGTAGTTATCATTAACAAACTTATTATTGCTTATATTTCTCCTGAAAATCCAAGCATTGATTTGTCATGTTGCTTGGGATAAACTGAGATTTCCACACCTGGTGACTATAAATAAATGATAGAAAACAGGACCTAACAAAGCACAAACTGGGTTAGAAAATGAACCTGGCATTTAAATTGGTTGTTTAATGAGTAGTGAGATATGTCAGGGAACGCAGTGTTTATTTTATTGCCATTACAAGGTGTCGGCTCTTGCAGTGAGGAGCCCAAATGAGTGAGATTCCCTGTCTGGATTAAAATTCCCGGCCTGACTGTGCCTTTGGCTGCTGTTTTGTACCCGAGATATTCTGTTTTCACTGGTGTAAGACCAGCAGTCGTGTGTTTGTGCCCCCTCCAAGGCAGGGTTGTGCAGTGGAACCACCTTGGTTTGGAAAGTGGTGAAAAGAAATAAATTGGAATATGCAAACCCAACTGGATGAGGCAGCACAGTTGGTGGCTATCGAGTGGTTTTGGCAAGGCCTTAATTCAACAAACATTTCCTGATAAAATTACACTCAGCTATTTTACCAAAGGCTCTAAATGTGCTTGGGCACAGGGAAATAATCCCACGCCTAAATCCACGTGCAGGGGCTGCTGAGGAGGGGTGAGCAGGGCAGGGAATTGTGTTCCCCTTTGGATTTTTGCTGATACTTTCTCCAGATATCTCTGTTGGCATTTTCAGCTCTACCTGATGAAGTTCTGGGAATGGCACAGGGGCAGAGCAGGGAGCAGAGCTTTCCAAGCTCCCACATGGTCAGTGTGGAAATTGGTGCCTTCCCAACCATCCAGGCTGTGTTTGTGTCCCTGGGGTCAGAGCCTGGGGACCAGGGACCAGCTCCTTTTCCCAGGCACTGGAGAAGTGCTGGGAGCACTGGGGAAGAGGCTGCTCCAAGCAGAGTTAATATGAATGAAGTGCTGCAGGCTCTGAGCAAACCGATGGGAGATAAAGAAAATGGATGTCAAGTGATGTGCATCTTCTAATCCTGGAAGAAATCCCTGCAGGAAAAACGAGCCTGTGGCTTTCCTCACCAACACAGGCTGCTGGATAATCCAGGAGCAGATTTCACACTGTCTCCAAACATTCCCCATCATGGTGGAACTGGATGGTGATTTACCAGACAGTGTTTGAATTAAAGTGGCTTTCTCCTGAAGAGGATAAACACCTTTGTGTACAAGTTGGAGTCTCCTGGTTTTTGTGCCTGAAAGCCCTCCACAGGTATTGAGGAAATCTTGGATCTGGAATGAGCTGGTGGAGCAGCGAGAAGGGAGGGAGAGAATAAACAGAATTTATTTATCAAAAGCCCTGAGTGCCTGCAGTGTGAACTTCTGGGATATGTGTCAGTTGTGAGAAGTGTCTAAATAGGGATTTAAGAAATGAGTTTTGGGAAGCATTGGAGGGTTCTACATGGTCTGACTTGAGAGTGATGACTGGAATAACTTTATTCCCAGAGATGTTGCTGGCCTGGATGGCAACAGGCAGATAAAGAGGTGGTTTATATTGAATATTTGCAGATGAAAGGAAACCAAACTCCCTCCATTCTAAGAATAAGTTGGATATGTGGGTAATGTTTGAGTATTTGTCCTCCACCCATTGCACAAAATGCCTTTTTCTGGAGAAGTTGTGATTGATGCTCTCATGTGGGAGAAGCTTCCAGAAGTGGCTTTCTACATCTCCAGTTTGCCAGGGAAGTTGGTTGTGTTCGGGGCCACAGAGCACCTGCCAGTGGTTTCTCAGCACAGCAATGGCTGCAGGAGGATCACCTTCCAGAAAAAACCAATGTATCATTCAGATGCATTTGTGAGGAAATGCAGCTGTTCCTGCAGCTTTTCCAACAAAAACTAGAGGATGCTTATAAAGGGAGACAAAAATCTTGACCCTTCTCTCTGCCCAGTTTTCAGACCCATCACTCTGATGTGCTTCAGCGTTTCGTGTCCCGGGGTCTGGGGGAGATGGGAAATGTGAGATGCAGTTTCCTTGGGATGTGAGCAGGGAGAGAGTGGCAGCTCCAGGAGTGTCCCTCACTGCACCTCCTCATTGGACACGGATCCCATGTGCTGCTGGACTCATCCCCTCCCACGCTGGAGGCCACAGATGAATTTCACTGCTGGGTTTTCATGGGAAGTGCCCCAGGTCTCCAAAATCCATCTGTTCAGGGACACCGGCGTTCATTAATGCTCCCACTCTGGCTGCCTTGCAAGGCAGCTGGAAATTTGTTTTTGCTCTTTATTTAACTATGCTGATAAGAGCTTAGGGAATGCATTTATCCAAATTTGTGCAAGGAGCTGGAATGGAGAAATATTTGTTGGTAAAACACCCTACTTGGCAGTGGTGCATTGCAAACATTAATGGAGCTGTTTGAATAAGGGAGTTTACAAACCTCTGTTTGAAAATCATTTACTCCCTGACTGTGATACTGCCTTCACAAGTGGTCTGGTTCTTGCTTTTTTTTTTTTTTAAACCCAGATGGTTAAATATTTGTTAATGCAGTTCAATTTTATCCCAGCTCTTTCTGTGTTTACCTTTCCTCTCCGGAGCAGTTAAGTGGGAGATAACGGGAATCCCATTCAGTTCCTTGGGTTGCTGCAATATCTGAAGAGCTGAACTTCCAGAGGAGGAGTGGGAGGGCAACAATAAATGAAATTTAAGATGTATTTACTGTTCTGACACAGTTTCAGGCTGCAGTAAAAGCCCAGCGGGTTCTAGGAGATGTAGAGACTGTGCACAGTTCTGGGATTGGCAGCTTTGGTCCATAAAGTGCAGCAGGTATTCAGGAAATTTCTCTCCTGGGTTCTTTGCTTTCACTTCTAATGTGGCCAAATTCCTCATGAAAAAATGGGGTTTGGGTTTGGGATAGAAATTCCTCATGAAAAAATGGGGTTTGGAATAGAAATTCCTGATGAGAAAAATGGGGTTTGGAATAGAAATTCCTGATGAGGAAAATTGGAATAGAAATTCCTGATGAGAAAAATGGGGTTTGGGATAGAAATTCCTCATGAAAAAATGGGGTTTGGAATAGAAATTCCTGATGAGAAAAATGGGGTTTGGAATAGAAATTCCTGATGAGGAAAATTGGAATAGAAATTCCTGATGAGAAAAATGGGGTTTGGGATAGAAATTCCTCATGAAAAAATGGGTTTGAGATAGAAATTCCTAATGAGAAAATGGGGTGTGGGATAGAAATTCCTTAGGGAAAAAATGGGCTTGGAATAGAAATTCCTCATGGAAAAAATGGGATTGGGATAGAAATTCCTCATGAAAAAGTGAGGTTGGGAATAGTTTGTGTTCCTGGGTTGACTCCTCCTTCCAGTAGTAGATTCTCTTTACCTCTGAGAGCGGCTACACTTGGATTTTTCAACAATACTTGAAATAATGGGAACAACTTTAGTGCCTTGCAAGAAGAAATTGTGTAACTGAACCATCAGTAGCTTTTTTTTTAAATTTTTATTTTTTTGGTTGAATTTATTCATAAAAACATCCTTTTCCAGCATTCTGTTTAGATGCAGTAGGAACCCTATATTTAAGTATTTATGTAAAATACGAGTTAAAATCTTGCCTTGCAATCAAGCAAACAAGGCCTAGTTGGGAATTTCAAAGGAAAAGCCGAATTTTGAGTGAACTTATGTAATTTCATTTGCATATTAATGTCAGCTTAAATTTGTATGAACAGAGGAAAAAAAAGGAAAAAAAAAAAAAGAGTATTAAAACAATACGAAGCCCTGAGCAGCTGCTCGAGTGCCATTTTTATCCACAGCTCCCTCGTTTTTCCCTAAACTCCAAAAGCACAAAAGAAGTTGATTTACACTGTAAATTCAGGCCGAGCAAAATCCAATTGGAGCTCACTCCAGCTCCGTTTTGATGTCAGATTCAAAAGCTCCTGCAAATTCATTTTATCTCCTCCGCTCGCCCATCTCCCGCTCGTAAATCCTGTTGAAGGAGAATAAAAATGAGCGGGGCCTGATGGGAATTTCATGTGTGAAGTTCAAAGGAGTTTTGCACATCAGAGCCAACGTCAATCAGGGTGAGATGTGGGGAGGCAGGCGGGGAGCGCCGAGCTCCGTGGGGACCAGATCAAAGTGGGAGTCGCGGCTCTGTTTGCTCCCGCGGGATGCGCCTTCCATCCCTTCTTCATTAAAGGGAATCCAGGAGGAAGAGAGCGAGGCAGGGGGATGGGGGTGAAGGAAACAGTGTTAGAAGGGAATCTCAATGGCTTTTATTGCCTTTAAAACCATGAAAAAAAACCAACAAAAAACCCCAAAATTAGATCTTTATAATTTTGGTGTGGGGTTTTTAATGAGGGTTTTCGAAGTGTTGTCACCTGGAATATTTTGGGTGAAATCTTAAGAGGTTTTTATCCACTTTGTAGTTGTGCTTCTGGCAAAAGTGAGAGACACTGGTGAAAATCAAGGAAAGGACTGGTAAAAATGAAGGGAGATAGTGGTAAGAATTTAGGGGGACACAGGTTAAAATGAAGGGAAACTTGGGTTAAAAATCAAGGAAGACACAGGTAAAAATGAAGGGAAACTTGGGTTAAAAATCAAGGAAGACACAGGTAAAAATGAAGGGAAACTTGGGTTAAAAATCAAGGAAGACACAGGTAAAAATGAAGGGAAACTTGGGTTAAAAATCAAGGAAGACACAGGTAAAAATGAAGGGAAACTTGGGTTAAAAATTAAGGGAGACACTTCAAAAAATCAAGGGAAACGGGTTAAAAATCAGGGGAGACACAGGTAAAAATGAAGGGAAACTTGGGTTAAAAATCAAGGAAGGCACAGGTAAAAATGAAGGGAAATTTGGGTTAAAAATCAGGGGAGACAGGTAAAAAATTAGGGAGAACTGCAAAAAATTAAGGGAGATGCTGGTAAAAATTAAGGGAGGCACTGGTAAAAATTAAGAGAGATACAGGTAAAAATGAAGAGAGGCATTGGTTAAAATTTAGGGAGACAGTTAAGAATTAAGGAAAACACAGGTAAAAATTAAGGAAAGCACTGGTAAAAATTAGGGGAAACACTGGTAAAAATTAAGGTAAAAATTAAGGGAGACACAAGTAAGAATTAATTGAGACAGCAGTAAAAATGTAATGAATGAACTGGTAAAAATTAATGGAGACATTGGTAAAAATTTAAGGAGACACTGGTAAAAATTGTCCCCTCTGTGCAGAGAAAAGGTGCTGAACAATGCTTCATCTATTAAAATACAAATATTTTTGATGTTTTAACTTCTTCCAAAGTGAGTGATGGGAAGGGCTGTGCAGTTTGAAACTTGAGTGGAAAATGTGTGAGGTATAAACACGGTAGGGAAAACCAGGATTTACAGCTAAGAATACAAACATTGGTTGGAAAGGCCACTTAGAAGTGCTGGGGCTTTGGTTTTAATTGTGGCTTTAATGAGAAAGATGCTGAAATATATTAATAATGCATTCTGAATTAAACTTAGAAGCACGTGGAGAATTCTCCAGTGTCATTAAAATGATGACAAATATTGCAGTGTAGATTTGCCACAGTTCCTGGTCCTGATTTTCATTTGTGATGGGAGCTGCTCTCTTCTCCAGGTCCTTGTGCCATGGAACCAAAACCACTGCACTGCAAGGTGCAAAAAGTCAATTTTAAGGCAAAATCAATCTCTGAAAAGAGATTTGAGACAGACATCCCACCTAGCCCAGTTTGGGGCAGCCCTTGCTCAAGGCTGGCAGGTCTGGTCTTTAATTTATGGGATTTAAAACAGTTCTTCATCTTTTATTTATACATTTTTTCCCATTAACTGTATTTCCTTTTTGCTGTAGGAAGGAGGGATGGGATTGGGCTGCAGGAATTTTTTTGTTTCCTTCCTCAGCTCCGCTGCAGATTATTTAGGCATCCACAAATTCATCTTCCTGGTGGGTAACAGTGGCTTCCTGAGAAGAGCTGAGGCCTTGGATGATTTTTGGAGCATGTTGAAGCATTTTAATGCAGTAAATGAATAATGTTGGTCGCTAACAAGGCATCCTGTTGCCATCACTAATAGATTTTGATGGGAGCTCTGGGACAATCCGTTTACATCCTGAAAAGTCATTATTTTTCACTGTGGGGTTGTTCTTCAGCCTTGCTCGGAAATATTTCTTTAGGATGGAGATGTTTAATGTGCAGTTTTTTGGGTTTGCCCCAAGATAAACATGAATTTTTGTGGAAACCCATCCGTTATCAATCAATCTTAGGCTGGAGATTCTTCAGCCAACAAAAAATCAACAAGACTTTTGCTCTCTTGGAAAGAGCTGTGATTTTTTTTTTGAAGTGGTTACATTTTAAGGGCGATAAGAAAAGCCACAGCTCTTCATCCAAGAGCTGCATTCCTGGGAAATGTCTTTTCCTCGACAGAGAGGGCTTGGGAGGGTCTCTGGGAGGAGGTTGCCAATAATGTCAACAAACAGCTCCAGGAGAGGGGATGAGCCCGTGCAGAGCTCCAGCTTTGGCTGCTTTGGGTCTGTCAGAGCATCCCAACCTGATCTTCCAGCCTGGGGCTGACCTCGAGGACAGACAGGAGACCTTGGTGTCTGTCTGTCCGTCCCCTTCTCGTCCTGGCTGTGCAGAGCGAGGAGATCACAGGGATGAGGGGACAAGCACGTGCAGTGACAGGACAAGGATGGCTTTAAGGCAAAGAGGGCAGGGTTAGGTGGGAAATTGGGAAGAAATTCCTCCCTGGGAAGGTGGGCAGGCCCTGGCAGAGGTGCCCAGAGCAGCTGGGGCTGCCCCTGGATCCCTGGAAGTGCCCAAGGCCAGGCTGGACAGGGCTTGGAGCAGCCTGGGACAGTGGAAGGTGTTGGGGTGCAATGGGTTGAGTTTTAAGGTCCCTTCCAGCCCTTCTTGGATTCCATAATCATCTTTTCATGCATCTTTTTCTTGTTTTTCCAGATTTGATGGGAATTTCAACACCAATGTCTTATTATGAATAGTTATTTACACTGAAACATTAAAAAGTTGTTTACAATGTAAATATATTAATTAATAAATAATGTCTGATTGCTGATCCTCTTGTTGTCCTTCCACATTTGATGAGAATTTAAACTCTGTGTTATTATAAATAATTATTTACACCACAACATTAAAAAGCTTTGTTTCCATTGCAAATATAAGTTTAATAAATAATGTTTGATTGCTGATCCTGTTGTTGTCTTTCCAGATTCGATGGGAATTTCAACACCAACGTTTCCAGAACCATCAGCTGTGACAGACTCTCAACCACTGTCAACAGTAGAGCCTTCAATCCTGGACGTGACTTAAATTCTGGTGAGCAGCACAGTTCTACTTTGGGGTTTTTTTCCTTCTGTTGTAAGGGTTTTTCTCCCATTAGACTCGAACATTTCCTTGGCACAGAGAATTTGCATTGATTGCCATAGCAACAAGCTTTTATTTCTCCTTGCAAGTGTCACACTGCTCTTAATTTGAGATTTCATGATTGAAAGCTGATACCTAAAGTAATGCCCTTGGTCTAAGTACTTTATAAAAAAGTCATGAAGGTTTTATTCCAGCCTACCGTGGATAATTTTGTTGTGGTTTCTACACTTTTTATTTCTTCCTTTTTTTATTTTTTTATTTTTTTCTAAGGTTTTCTCCTTCCTGGGCCTGTCTGCTTTGGCATCAGCAGTGGCAGGGTCCACACAGGGAAGTTTCTCTGATCTTCTTAGCTGAGTTCAGCTCATGTGAGGCTGCCTTTGCAGTGATAGGCAAAAATTACCAAATGTGAGGGCATCCTTAAATATTTCCTGTCTTTATCTTGTCAGGGCATTTTCTCCACACGTTTAAGGGCTTTGAGATATGCTTAGAATCAAAATGCACACAACTGATCCCTGAAAAATTCAGCTTTTGGGCCTCTGGTGCAGCAAGGTTTTCTTTTTTTTTTGCATCCTAATCAGGGTGGATTAATACAGGGATTTCAGTTGGGTTTAGCCAGACTTTGGTCTGGCTGTTCCATCTGACTTTTCAACTTTTTATGGTGCTCAGTGTCGTAAATTAGAGAACATTAATAGACTTTGGTTGTGGATTTCATTTTGGGGAGGTGTTGTTTGTTCATTCTTTTGGGGGAATAATGCAGATTTGGGATTTATTTTATTTTCACTTTCAGAGGTCTTTTGGAATAAGATGCTGATTTATTTTATTAACTTGACTGATGAAATGGCAGCCCTGCCATTCCACCCTCACCATCTCGCAACAAACAGGGGGAAAGAACCCCACATTTTTATAAACTCCTTTATTGTTTCTCTTCTTACAGTTTTGCTTTCCGGATTTCTAATGAAATATAAAAATGAGCAGTCCCCGTAGATCCTTTTCCATCCCATCCATTGTATCCCACATCTTGGATGCAGGTGCTGGCCAGGCTGATTTCCTGACACTCCATGATTTGTGTGGTGTTTTCCATCCTAAAGCCAGGCACTCTTTGTTCACTCACTGTGATTTGCTGAGCTTCGTTTTACTCATCTCTTTATTAAAAAAAAAAAAAAACAAAAAACAAACCCAAACAACTCATTAAAATAATGTTTAAATCACATGCAGTTGTTAATTAATCAGAATAATTTTTGAAGGCAAGTTTAGAGTCACTGTTGTAAGAGCAAAGCGTGGAATGAATCACTTCATGGTTTTTAATTAAATTAAATAAAAATCTTTTTCTACTGCAGAAGTTGGAGGTTAAAAAAGTATTCAAGAAATAATCCTTACTTTTGAGTGATGGAAAGCAAATAAATTGCAGTTTCTTGTAAACATAATTTAAATTTCTGGTTTGAATTCTCAGAGAAATAAAGGTTCCTGCTGTCCTGGCTCAGCAGTGAGGCTCAAGTGCCTCCTCTTCCCTTGCCTCTGGCTTGAAAGATTCCTGATGAAAGGAGAACCTTCAAAACATGGCATTGGCAGGAAAGGGCAGCAGGAGAGGAGAGGGAATTGAGGGAGAGTAAGAACAAGGGTTTATTGACAGTAGAGTCTCCTCTGGCTCTCCTGGTACAGAAACAGCCTTGGGGGGAGGCTGTGATTGGGTTTTGATTAGGGAGGAAATGTCTGTAAGAGAGAATTGGGATGGAAAGAGTGGATTGAGGCAGGAAAACAGGATGGAAATGGTTAATTTGAGAAACAAAAGTTGGTACTGGGCACACACCTAGTGAAGAGAGAAGTTTTGTGTAGGTGAGGTCCAAGGAATGTCCTTGGTCCTTGTTGTGTTTGAAAGTCTGGGAGATCAATCACAGGTGGGGTTGGGTTGGAAGGACCTCAAATCCCATCTCATCCCAGCCCAGCCATGGCAGGGACAGCTCCCACTGTCCCAGGCTGCTCCAAACCCATCCAGCCTGGCCTTGGGCACTGCCAGGGATCCAGGGACAGCCCCAGCTGGGATTGGTGACAGTTCCACCTTCCCATCCCTGCTCCTCATCTCAGCCCCAGGAGCTGCAGCCCCAGTGACCCCTGGGGACACTCAGGAGGGTCAGCAGGGCCCTGCTGCTGTGGGGCTGGACCATGGCCGGAGTGGTGTGGGGCTGCAGGAGCTCTGGGATAAACTGGGATAAATTGGGATAAACTGGGATAAACTGGGTGTGGGGAGCCTTTGGGTGCTGTGTTGGTGCTGTCTGTAGCACTTGGTGATGGAGCCATGGGCTGGGACCTCCAGAGAATCCCTGTGTGTCCAAAGGAATTCCTGGGCTGGGACAAAACTTGCCTTGGGATAGAAATGGAGTGGGGAGCGGTTTTGGTTAGAAGGATGAAGGGTTCTCGGTGCCCTGGTATCCCCCCAGCTGGGGAGATGCTGTCACCTCATAAATGGGGTTTTAAAGCACTAATTAGTGTAGCTGTGTCTTAAAACTTTGCATTTTCTCTAGGACCACTTACCTTAGAGGGTACATTCAGGGCACAGCCCTTGGTGTGCACAGGAGCCAATTTTCAATGACTCCATCAACACTCACATTAAACTAAAACCACCTCTGAAAGAAGACAGGGTTCAAATACAAAAAAAAACCTCCCCATATCCCATAATTTTCTTTTCTTCTCTCATAAGTGTCCTCATGCAGAGCTGGGGAGGGATATCTGTTGCACCTTGGGTTTAGGCTCTACCTTTGCCTCACTTATTTTTATGATTTAAAAATACATTTTTATTGTGTTTGGTACATCTGGGTGTTCTCGTCGTCGTCTTCCTGAATGAGTTTTTCATTTCATTCTGAATGTAAAAGGCAAAATTCCCATGAGTGTCGTCCCTTTTCCCACAGGAGTTCTGCAGTTTAAATAATCCTGCCTATAAAAAGCTCCTGGCAAAACATAAATTTCAGCTCTGCTCTGCTCGACCTCGAGCTCAGCTCTGGAAATGTTAATCTTGGCCCAGAGTAAAAAGTGGGATCAGAGTGGTGAAGTTGGAGGTGTTGGAAAGGAACGGAATTTGCACCGCAGGCTCCGGCAAAGGCACAGGAACAGAGCCTGGGAGAGCCCTCAGGGACAGCAACCCCAAATTCCACCCTGAGCACGGTGTTAAAAAGGGTGAGGGAGCTCGTGAAACTTTGAAATCAGTTTTTTCCAGTATTATTTGAATTATTTTTTCATTAAAATAAACATTAATCTGAGGGGAAGGAGAAAGAAATAGATGTGTCTCTTCTCAGCTTTAAAATAATATCACTTTTACCACTGTTTTTCTCTTGATATTAGGTGGCTTTTTAAATGTTTTTTAGTGTCTTGAAAAGATTTTGTTTTATCTTGCTTGGAGTTTTGCATCTGGATTACTTTTAGCCATTACTACAAAATAGATAAGGAGAAAGTCTTTATTCTCCAGATGGAGACACAGGCTTTGGGCAGTTAGATGAAGAGATCTGTCCTCAGCACTCTGAATAGTCCTTTATTTATTAAATCTTCCCCAGAGCCAGTGCATTATGTTATCAGATTCCTTGAGAGGGTTTTGGTTTTTTTTGCCTTTTGAATAAACAGGGAGCCAGTAAATCTTTCTCCTTCTCATCCTTCAAAGTGCTGAAATGTCTGTTCCACGTCAGGCAGCTTTGGCAGAGTGCTCCTCCCCAGAAATATGCAGAGATGGCACCAAACTGCCCAATAAATTTGGTCTGTTTTATTCGAGGTGTTGATCATTTCAAATCTTAGAATCATAAAATATCTGGAGTTGGAAGGGATCAAGTCCAGAATGTGGAATGTTCCTTAAATTGCTGTATTTTAAACTGCTTTTGGGCTGAGTTAAAGTGCTTGGGAGGTATTTGAGCAGAAGAGTTCCTCCTTCCAAATCCTTTTAACAGAGGAATCTGGTCCCATTCCTTAAAATTAAAAGGTTTTTTTACTTCTTTTCCCTTCAGAGTCCTAAGGATTGAGCAGGGCTCTGTCCTGGCTCATGCCACCAGCAGAATGTTAATTGTGGCTGAACTGCAGAGCTTTTATTCCTGATGACAACACAGGAGCTGGAATTGGGTTTGACTTGGGAAATCCTGGATCAGATCTGTCTGCAGAGTTAGAGGATGTCTTCACTTGTACAATAAACACATTTCTTTGTGCTGTTTCTTCACCATGAGGGTTTTTAATGGAGAGACTTGTCAGAGGAGAACTGAAAATTAAACTTCCCTGGTTTTTGTGGGATGAGATCCGAGGTCGGCAGCTCAGCAAATGTAATGCTAAAGAGGAGGGCTGTAAGAAACCCTTTTATAACGAGCAATTATGTTCAGTAGTTCCTTTTTTCTTTCCCCTGACTGTTTGTGCTGTTCTTTGAAGATTAATTAGTTAATGATTTGGCTGTGCTTTGAAGATGTAAAGTGGTATCTAGAAGTGCTAAGTGTTATCATATCGCATTCCCTTTGAAGTTTTATAAACTCTATCACACAGGGCTTTCTTCCTAAAAGTCCTTTTTGCCTTGTGAGATATTTATAATTAGAGAGAATGATCATTTCAAATGCTGTCATGTTAATGGTTTCCAACTTTTCCAGTCTGCAGCCGGATTTGGGGTCAGATATTGCTGCAGGGGAAGTGGAGGGGACAGAAGTTTTGGAGTGACTTGGCAATGCCACCTCACAGGCAGTTGATTATTCCCAGTCTGCATCCAGAATTAAGGGATCAGCTTTTTATTTGATGGAATAACCTGTCCAGGGACTGGCTTTGCTGGGAGGAGGAGGAGGTGGGAATAAACTACAGGCACGAAAAAGTTTGGGGTAAATGAGGTTTAGGCTAAAATAAAAATCATCTACTGTGTGTCCTGGCAAGGAGCAAGAATTGAGGAAATATCTGCAGGGCATTCTTACGGCTTGAGTGGATGGAAAATGTGTTTAAAGAGAAAAAGTCTGGATTTTTCAGCCATGGCTTATCTGCAGGGAGATTGTCTGCTGTGGTCATAGGAAAAAGAAAAAAAATGGGGGAAAAAAAGCAGAGTTAGGATAAAATTGGTGATCTCTGGGGAAGGAGGAAACATGAGCACAACTGTGTGAAAAGAAAGAACAGCAGAGCTTGAGTTTCAAAACCAATTGTTGTAGGAGGAAAATGAACGCTTTTAAATCTACATACTCTCGTGGGGAAATAAATACAGCTCGTGGCCTTGCAGGAATGAGAAGTTTATCTTTAATATAGCAAGGATTAAAAAAGCCAAAGCCTTTAAATTATAAACTCCTTTATTGTAATGTTGTTGGTAAAATGAGACTGGACAAGTTATTTCATCCAGGCTTTAACTGAGTGTTCACATGTCAACTTTGAAATGACGTTTTTCAAATTCTGTAACTCAAAACAAAAACTTCAGCAGCAGAAATTCAGCTTCTTTATACAAAACAACTTCGCTCCCAGAACGAAGAATTTTGGGTAGCTGGGTATAAAAAGGATTTAAATGATTTATAGTCTCACAGCCCTTCTGCCTGCAGGAGGAAGCAGCAGTTCAGAGAAAAAATTGATTTTGAAGGGGAATGATGAATCTCTGGTAGTCCTTGGTCCATCAAGGCAGGGAATTGTTCTCATTTCTGTACAGAACTCAGCAGTCCCAGCCCAGCATCCCAGTGGGATTTGTAGGCACTGTGGGAAGTGTAAAATACTGTGGCAAAGAGGAGTGGGGAAAGCCCAGGACAGTGGTTTTTGCAGGGTAATTACACTGAGCTGGATGTGGAGAGAACATCGTGGCCACAGCCAGTCTGGAAACCTGAGTAAGTGCTAAAGTGTGGAGGATGTGGGACTCAGACCATCCTTGGTGTGGCTGTTCGGGTGTAGAGTGTCTGGCTAAGGTTTGAATGTGCCCTGCAGTCCTTTCTAACCCAAATATTGGAATATTTGATAATGAAGGAGACGCAGGAGATGAAACTGGTCTGTGTTCAGTGCCAGCCCTGAGCAAATGCTGAAGGGAAATGCTGAGCAAAAGGTGAAATCAGAGCCCCCCTCTGCCAGTTCTTTTTGACAACATGAAAGGAGAAATGGCAAAGATATATTTTCTTTTTTTTTTTTTTTCCCTGCATTTTAAGCTGGTGTGATCCACTTTATTTGCTAGGTGAAAACTAAAGATTTCAAATATCTTGTGGAAAATAATCCTGTTCCTGCTGTGGTGCTGAGGGGGTTTGTGCCTCCCATGCTAATGATTTCCCATTCCCTCTCTCCTGGGAGCATTTCCCTTTTGCTTTAAAGGACTCAGATCAGTGAGATCAGTGGTGGGGCAGAGCTGGTGATTCCATGAATGAAAATCCTGAGTCTCTCCAGGCTGGAGGGAGAGCAGATGATGTCCATGGGGCATTCTCACTGCCCTAGGAGGCTGAAATCCCAACACCAATGGCATCTGTTCCTTCCCTGTGCCCATGGGATCTGTTCCCTTCCCCCTGTGCCCATGGGACATCTGTTCCTTTCCCTGGCAACAGGTTGGTTATGAAGCTGTGAGCACCAAACCTGTTTAATATTTTGGAGTTATTCCACCAAAAACCTCAGGTTTTTTTAACATGGAGGCTTTTCCCTTTATGGAAGGGATGGTGACAGTGTATTTATTATTACATGGAGATCTAAGGGTGTATATCTATTATATAAAATTGCTTTAATCTCTTCCTTCCTCACTCTGGCCTTGCCTTCCTGGGACCTGGGTCTGATTCAGAGATTCAGGAACTGTCATCACACATTAAACAAAATCTGTCCAATCCATTGCTGAGTTTCCAAAAGACTTGAACTGTTTGCAAATCAGTTTTACCAGTGAGTTTTACCTGTCCTGAGCAGAGCAGTTTGTGTTTCATGTTGGGCTCTGATTGTTCTTCTCCAAACTCCACGAGAGAGGCCCTGAGTAACAAAACCTCCTGGTCTGGGCTGCCTTTGTAACTCTGCTTGGTTTTCCCTTTCCACCCTGCAGTCCTTGCTGATAACCTGAAGTCTAACCCAGGAATTAAGTGGCAATATTTCAGCTCAGAAGAAGGGATTTTCACCGTGTTCCCAGCCCACAAGTTCCGGTGCAAAGGCAGCTACGAACACCGCAGCAGGTAGGATTTGCCTCCTTCCAATTTCCTGGGAAAAGCATTAATTCCTCAAGCCCTGATTTCATTCAGTGTTGTCCTTTGCCAAGCTGACAACATTCATGAGTAACTTCTAATGGAGTCCCTTGGGTTTTCTTAGGGTCGTTTTTAAAGCACCACTTTTCACTTCTAAGAAACTCAACTGAAATTCCAAACAGGTTCCTCACCTCTCCCAAATTAAATCAGCTGTAAACAGCAGTGACTTAGAAGTTGTGGGTCAGCCTGCAGGCAAAATCTGACTTACATTTGACTCATAGTTGACCCCTGTTAATAAAGCAGTGAACACACACTCTGCAGATTTGGCAGGTGCATCACTTTGGGGAGGGAGAGGAAGGATGAGAGACTGGGAAGGGCACGTGGGTAAGAACATTTTTCCCCAGGTTCAGGTGGGACGTCATGGATGGTAGGGAAGCAGCAGTGCAAATTTCCTTCCACTAAAATAAACAAAATAAAAATAAAGCATCAGCTGGGGGCAGGGTTTGCTGCACAGGGATTTCTGTTCTCTAGACATGAAGCCAAGAATTTGAGGTCCAGTATCTTTCCCTGCTTTTTCTGTCAGTCCCATGGGATTGATGAAGGTTCAAAGGTGGGGAGGTGCAGTGGCTTTAATATCTCTGGTCACACATTAATTAATTGTACCGGTTAATCACATCCAGGAACTTTTTGGGGGCACTAAGGAGAGTTTGGTTTCCTGTCAGGGTTGAGCAATCCAAAGTTCACTGATGGTATCTTTGGTGTGTCATCAAAGCACAAAGTTCTGAGCTTGGCTGGGTTTTCTGGGCCTTGGAAGGGTGTGGTCTGAAGAGGTGAGAGCTGGGGGTGCCCCAGTCCTGCCCAGAACTTGGCCACTGAAACCAAATCAGTGATTTTATCCAAATCTCTTAGTCTGGGACATAGTTTCTCTATGCCTAAATAAGGGGTATCTTTTTGGTAATATTTACTTCAGAGGGTAGTTTGGGTGAATTAATTAGTTAATGCTTCAGTGCTTTGAAGATCAAAGGCCCAGTTTCAGTTTCAGGTATTAATCCAGGGTAGAGCTGCAGGCTGTTTTACAGCTGAGAACTGATTTGTGCCAGTTGTTTACTGCAGTGCCTTGTCTCAAATCTTCTGCATTTCCTTTCCTCTTAATAAGATTTCTCCGTCTGCCTTTGATATAATAAAATTTAGATCCCAGAACTCTCATTTGACTGTAACTGGTCTTGTGTCTGGACCAAAGAGGAAAGAGAATCTTGCCATTTTATTTTAATCCTTCCTCCGTGCTGAGGATCTTCCTAATTTATTCCAGGTTGAAACCTTGACATGAGAGCTTGTGAACTCTTTCACAAATCTCTCAATATTGAGCTGGATCTGAAAACACTTCCCTGAAAACAAGTTTTTTGGTGTTAGCACAGCCCCAAGGCAGCACTGAGAGTCCTCCCTGTTGTTCACTCACTTTGGGATGTAAAACTGGGCAGATCCAAGGGCTTGTGGAGCATGACTTGGCTGAGAGTCATCCCAGGGCAGCCTGCCTTGGCCAGGAGCCTTCTTACAGCAACCCAAACACCCTGGGCTGATCAACTCCCTGCTGCTGCACAGGTTTTTACTTGTCATGGCCCTGGCACATCCCTATTGTTGCACTCAGTTCACGTGTGGGTGAAGTTCCCAGCAGGCAGGATTTACCAGGAGGCATTTCTCACTTCATTCAAACCTTGGTGTGAACTGCTGCACTGATCCCAAACCAAGCAACAAGCTTTATTCCTGAAAGCTCTTGCTGTGACAGAGAGAAGAACCTGGTTTAAATTAAAAAATTCAGAAAGTGAGAGGCATTTCTGCACGTTCAGATTCTCAGCTGGCCTTTCCTGATGCAAGTTTTCTTAAGGGGAAAAAAAATCCCTGGTATAATTCATTGTTTCTTCCTGGTTGTTTGCTTGGGTGTTTTAATTCCTGCCTGTTTCCACTTGGGAGCATTTCAGTGGATGACAGGGTGCCTGATGAATGATGGTGCTTTGGCTTTTGTCCCTCCTCAGGCCCGTCTACGTCTCGACCGTTCGCCCTCAGTCCAAGCACATCGTGGTCATCGTGGACCACGGGGCCTCTGTGTCAGAGACACAGCTCCAGATTGCCAAGGATGCTGCCCAGGTCATCCTCAGCTCCATCGATGAGCACGACAAGGTGAGGTTTCTCCAGGCAAGGAGCAGCTTTCCCTGGGATTTTGATTCTCACCCAAAGCGCTGTTTTCAGCCCACGGACTCCTGCGGATCTGGGAGCTGCCTCCGAGGGGTGACAGAGCCTTGAACTCACTCTTGGAACTTTTCTGCCTCAGGGGAGACATTTGGGGATCTGCAGGCTGGGAAAACATGAAATCCCACTGATCTAAGGCAAAATCTTGTACCTGAGCAATCTTTAAAGGCTTATCCATCTCAGCAGATATTTCAGTGATGGTCAACAGGAGGAAGAACCACGCTCTAAACATGACTCCTTCTCTCACCCTAGACTGCTTTGAGCAGCTCATTTCACCTCTGAACCTCTCTTTTTGTCTTATGAAAGAGGAAATTATTTATTCTCCTGCAGTACTGGGGTGAGCTGAAGCATAATTAGTGTTTGGAAGATTCACAGATAATTATGGTGGCAGCAGAGGGCTGAGAAATCTGGGTTTGATTTCTTCCTGTGTCATTTGACAGTGAAAAAGTTGCTTAACCTGTAATTTTTTCAGTAGAGACAACCAGAAACCCATAAGATGCTTCTGTAAGAAGTCTCCATTTTGGTCTTAACTTTTAGTAACTCTCTACTGGTGAGACCTTTATCAGTCCCTCTGCTTGGGTTTTCTTTTGTGAGTAGGAAGAGTTTCAGTTAAATTGAAGAAAACAGATGATAATCTTTTGCCTTAAGTATTCTCATGAATAGTATGAGAAAACCACTTGTAACTTTGTGCTTTTGTAGAGATTTAATGTGGTAAAGCAATCTTACAGTTCAGCAGGATTAATAGCACTTAAATTTAAGTGTCAGAAGGATTGGTGTTAGAATAGAGAATACATTTAAGATACCTATTCCTTGGTCAGTAGCTCAGTGGGTACAGAACCTCTTACACAGGTATCTAATTACTGCTTAATTCTGTGATTGTCTTGCCTCAGTCTTGCTCCCTAATGAAGTTTGTCACTCAGTTAATGAGCCTGCTTTGTTAGATGTCATTAAGGCATAGTGGTAGCACTTGCATTAACTTATTTACAGGAGAAGCTGATGTCAGAGTTGTCTTGCTTTGACTGAAACGTTAAAACAACAAAAAGCTTTGCAGGGAGGGGTCCTTAGAGGGGTTATTTTTTTTTCATTTCTCTGGGTTCTCCAGGCTTTCCTGAAAATGCTCTCTGCTGATTTCCCTGTCAGTTCTCACCCAGGCTCTGCCCAGAGCAGTGCATTACCCATTGTGAGGGAGCAGAGTGACTCCTCTGAGAACCAAATACCAAAATCTCTTTTCCTCAAACTCCCCACAATCCCTTTGAAATTCAACAGATTTATGCCTGAAGCATTTCTTTCCCAACAATCCACTTTGGGACCCACGGGATCTGCTCAGCTGGCTTCTCCCTGTGTGGTGTGTCTGGGTGTGCAGAGACCCCTCCAGGGGAGGAGATCCCATGGAATCTCTCTCTTTCCCGGCAGATCTCGGTGCTGACGGTGGCGGACGCGGTGCGGACGTGCTCCCTGGACCAGTGCTACAAGACCTTCCTGTCCCCTGCCACCAGCGAGACCAAGAGGAAGATGTCCACCTTTGTCAGCAGCATCAAGGCCTCTGACAGCTCCACACAGCACGCCCTGGGATTCCAAAAAGCTTTCCAGCTCCTCCGGAACACCAACAACGGCACCAGGCTCCAAGGAAGTAAGCCAGCCTCTTGTGCAAGCCTGCTTATTTCAGCCAATGTTTTCTTATTTCACATTCTCACTTTGGTAGAGGCCAAGGGAGTGGAGTGTGTTGAATATTAACAAAAATGTGCTCTGTCCCCTGTATTTTTGTTTTAGGGAGCGTTTCCTTGGGCTGCAATCCGCGTGAGGGATTGTTGGATGTGTCCTTTCCCTTCTCACTTGTGTCACTTGCTGCCTTGCCTTTCTTTTGAACTGAAAGAGGAAAATGCAGGATTGATCTGTGTGATAGCTGAGTTATTTCCCCAGTCTGTATGGGGGGGCTTTTCCAGGAAAATGGCAGCTTCTGCAGGTTCATTTAATGATTGCTGGTTCATTTGCATATGGATGATGTGCCTTATTGGAATCCTGGGGAAGCAGCCCTTGCTTCCCAGGGAAATGGCTCTTTTGAGAATGCCAATTATGGGTGATGTTTTGTGGAACACAAAGGTGTCCTGGCTAAATCTTCCTTCACCTCAGAGCACCCTCCCCGAACTCTGGGTGCTCATTATGAACTTTATCCCTCCCCTTCCCAAGATTTGGGTTTTTTCTGGGTGTTTTTTGTAATGAGGATGTGGTGAAAGACATGGAAGAGATGGATGTGAAATTGAGGAAGCTGTGGAAGGCGAATTCTGCGCTCTGAGTGCTCCTCAGATTTGAGTAACAGCAGCGGTGCCGTGGCAGGGTGGAGGGAACAGCCCCTCTCCATGGGGATACTCGGATTATGTAACACAATTCCCACAGCCTGGCCCTGTGCCTGCTCCAGGGAGAGCAGATCCTTCAGTGTCCCAGAGAGCTCAGAGGCTGAGCAGGACCAGAGAGAGAGGACAAGCCCAGGAATTGAAGTGCTTTGGAAAGAATGAGGAAATACCCTCGCATTCCACGTGACTTTCCTTGGGTTTATGGGATGGTGCTTTTGCTACCAAAGGTTCAGCCCATTCCTGAGCTTCAGGCCACTGGCACAGGGAGCCTTTGTGTGACTGGACAAAGGATGAGGTTGGCAAGGGCAGGATTTTACCATCCTCTGGCAAAATGATGATGGGGAGCAACTCCAGCACATGCAAAATAAACAGTGCAGCTGGCTGGGATGAATTTGTCATCAGGAGTTATTCCAAGAACATCAGCTGAGGAGTCTTTGAGCATCCTCCTGCATATTCCCCATTCCTGGAAGTGTCCAAGGCCAGCTTGGACAGGGCTTGGAGCAATCTGGGATAGTGGGAGGTGTCCCTGCCCATGGCAGGGGTGGGATGAGATGGGCTTTAAGGTCCCTCCCAACCCAAACCGTTCCAGGATTCTATGATTTTGTGTTTGGCAATGTTTTCTACTAGCATCTGAAGTTTTGGCATATTCATACTTTACTAGGTTTCATATGAAATAACCCTTTTGGGGCACAAGCACAGAAAGTTAAAATGCAAATGTTTGGATTTAGGTTTTCTCTACATGTGGAAGATTGTGAAGATCTAAAGCGTTTATAACGAATTTCAGAATTCCTGGTGTGAGACACAATAGGTTTGAGAAGAGGATGTTTATAAAACATGTCTCATTTTCTTGTGAATAATCTTTTCATCTTTTTTTTTAAAAAAACAAACAAACCCACAAAAAAAAAACCTCCTTCATTTCACTGTTAATTTTCTAACATCCTGTTCCCTGAGAACAATGTGTGGGTGTGTCAGGGAAGCTGTTGAGATACAGCCTCAATCCCAAATTCACACTGGCAAAGCCAGAAGGGAACTGCTGATGTGAGATGGGAGAACTGTGCTGTTAATCTGGATTTTCTGCTTCAGTTCCTACTGCAGTCCTGCTCAGCAGATCCCAAAAGGTGACAAAATGCTCCAAAAGCTGCTTGCTCTGGTCCCTGATGCAGATTTAGGACTGGCTCTTGTCAGTGCATCCAGGCTGCAGCACCATGCCTGGCTGCAGATAGAATATCCCTGCTGTAGCCTTGGAAACACAGCAACAATTGTCCTTAAACTTCACCCAAAGCTGCTTTAATACCTGGATTTGCTTTTTTTCCTACTTTTAGCCCTTACAAAAAACTAAGGTAGAAATTCCCCCAAATTAACAGCACTTCCTGTTTGTGTCAAATTCTGGTCAAGTCATGAGGACAAAATGTGCAAGTCAAAGCATTGATACCTATTTAATAAACCAGTACAGCAAATCCACCAAAAATCCAGGTGAAATAAGAAAGTTGGGACGTGGCCACGTCAGCCCAGCGCTCTGGATTTACTCTGTGTTCATTATAAACACAAACCACTCTCAATCCTGAGATAAATGTGATGGGGCAGGCTGGAGAGTAAGCACAGGACTGTGAATTGTTGTGTTCAAAGGCTTTGGGGCAGGACTTCGGCCAGGAACATCCTCAGCCTGAAAAACGTGTTCCAGGGAAAGTGTCAGGGGCCAGGTGACGTTCCCAAGCTTTCTGCTCTGCCCTGCTCCATGGGAAGGCATCCTGTGCAGCTCCCTGCCTTAGGATTGCAGGATGGAAGCAGAACAGAGAGGCAGGAGATGAAAAGTGCAGGTTTTTACCTTGTGGAGCCTTTTCCATGGAATTGGAGCAGCTGCTCCAGGTGCTGGATCTGTGTGTTCCTGCCTGGAGGCAGCCAAGCTCCTCAGCCTGGAGGTGAGAAGGATCCAGGGAGGCCTGAGTGCCAGGAGAGCTGGGGAGGGATTTGGGACAAGGGATGGAGGGACAGGACACAGGGAATGGCTCCCAGTGCCAGAGGAAGAGTTAGATGGGATATTGGGGAGGAGTTGTTCCCTGGGAAGGTCGGCAGGCCCTGGGATAGAATTCCCAGAGCAGCTGTGGCTCCCCCTAGATCCCTGGAAGTGTCCAAGGCCAGGCTGGACAGGGCTTGGAGCAGCCTGGGACAGTGGAAGGTGGGACTGGATGGGGTTTAAGTTCCTTTCCAACCCAAACCATTCCATGGCTCCAGAGGCAGAAGGTGCCTGTGGGGTTTGCTCAGGAGAAGAAGCCCCAGTGCTCCCGGGTGGCCGACAGGCACCAAACCAAACAGGAGTTTGCTGAGTGCCAAGAGTGCAGTTTGAACACCAGAGGCTGGAATCCACGTGGCTGCAGTGTGTTTGTCCCCTGGAGATGCTGGGGATCCCTGGATGAAGCTGCTGTGAGCAGATTTCAGGGCTCTCACCCGAATTCAAACCTTTGTGCTGTGTCTGTGATTGTGTTTCAGATACCGACATGGTCATCATTTATCTCTCGGCCGGGATCACATCAAAAGATTCCTCAGAAGATGATAAAAAAGCCACTCTGCGTGTCATCAACGAAGAAAACAGCTTCCTCAATAACTCAGTGATGATCCTCACTTATGCCCTCATGAATGGTGAGAGATGGTTGTGATTTCCAGGCCATAAAATTCCCTTTCCTGGCACAGCTCGTTTATCAAGCTCATTCCAGGCTAATTCCAGGCCTTACTGGGAGCAGTTTGTTCATGGATTTTGGCACATTTAAGCAGAAGCTGCATCCAGATGTTGTCACTTTGGTGTTTATAACTGTGCCACTCTATCCTTTTGTATCCCAGTGCAGCTGCAGGGATATAAAATATTGTGGCCTGGATTGTCCAGACTGAGTTAAATTTATTAATAATTGCAGTTGAAAACCTTCCTGAGGGGCAGCAAACTGGGACTAAATGTGACTCCATCAGCCAGGGAGGGTGAATGGGAGATCAGACCAAATCTGAAATGCTTTGATAACCTGGAAACCAACCCAGGAGTGAAGTTAAACATGAAGATCACCCCCTCATTTTCCAAAAAAACCCCATTTTTGGCACGAAGGCAGTTTGTTGTATTACTGAAAATAGCCAAGGAAGTGAATGCTTAACCTAATGTATGATTTGGTTGTAAATTTAAATACTCCCTTGAGACTGGGGCGGGCAAAAGGTTTTGATTTGTGTGCAGGAGTTGAAGCTGGGACTTGAGTGAAGTGTGAAACTGGAATGATTCAGCTGGAGAACAAAGCCTGTTATCTCCCAGGGCAGAGGATTCGCTCCTGCTCCTGCCTGTGGGCGAGCCACCGGTGGAGAACAAAGAGCTGTCCTGTGGATTTATGGGGCACACAGCTCTCTGTTCCAGGGGCTTTGTTTCAAGTGGGGATGTGAACAGCATGGCCAATTTTTGCACTGTGCAACAGTAGGAGAGAGGCAGTCTCATTAAATTTGGTGTTAGGTAATTAATTTTCTTCAAACCAATCTTTAAGCACTTAAATAAGAATATAGAATTTTCAGTACAGAGTAGGGCTCGTTCCCTTGGAGCAGGATGCAGGAGTCTGGATGGAAATGAAGCTTGTTTTGTCTGTTTTGCTCATGTTTTGTGCCCCTGCTGCGTGGCAGAGGGGGTGACAGGGCTGAAGGAGCTGGCCTTCCTGCGGGACCTGGCCGAGCAGAACTCGGCCAAGTACGGCGTGCCCGACCGCAGCGCCCTCCCCGTCACCAAGGGCAGCATGATGGTCCTCAACCAGCTCAGCAACCTGGAGACCACCGTGGGCAGGTTCTACACAAACCTGCCCAACAGGATGATCGATGAGGCCGTGTTCAGCCTGCCCTTCTCGGATGAGATGGGGGATGGTGAGTGCTGACCTTGGATTCGGCTGTGAAACCATCAGAGATCAGCTTCTCTTGGCTTTCACGTCCCCAAATATACTCTAATGTCCTGCAAGATTTTGGTTTTTGTCTATACCATTGTCATCTGCAGAAGGTTTGGTTGTGAAAGAAGTGGTGACAAGATATGGAGTCGACAGATTTAGTTTGGATTCTTGTGGTGAAATTTGTTCCTATGTATGAGTTCATACACAACATCCATAATTTAATCTGTGGAGAGGAATTCTTTGTACTGCAGGGAAATAGGTTGGAATGGCATCCATGGCAGCCCTGTGTAAGAGCAGGATAAAAGCAGCCTGGCAAATGGCACAAGGAGAGATTGTTAATTATTGTTAATTATTGTCCCAAGCTGGCCACTCTCAGCCTTTCTTTGGCTTCAGCACACCTGGACTGTTCTGAGACCCAAACTGAATTTAAAGCTGTTCCTGAGCAAATCTGAGTCTGAGCTTTTGTTCCTTCCTGCATTCCCTCCCTCGGTGATTAAACTCAGTTACTGCTCTCTCCCAAAGCCATATCCAATGGAAAATGTGAGTAGCAAAGGATTGGGAATGGTGCAATAGAGAGCTTTGTCTTAGGTGGATTTCAGAGTATTTCATTGTACATGCAAATGAATTTGATCTTGGGGTGAGGGAAGAGCTGCTGAGTTTCCCAACAGTGGTGGAGAAAATAGGAGCAAGAAGATGTTGCAGAATTCTCACCTCAGGGATGAGATAAATCCCAAACTGTTGGGTAATTGTGGATATGATTCCCAGCACAGTGGCAATACTGGGGTTTAGTTTAGCAGAGATTTAATACTCTGATTATGCATTAGATGAGTAACAACTCATCCCAACTGCTGCTTTACAAAGACAAAGTAATTTCCTTCCTCTCCCATCCTATTTTTTAATGGTCCTACATTCTGTTAAAGGAATTCTGTTGGCTTTCCACACAAATTAATTTTTTATCTATAAGGAACCCACTTGGAGACTGACAACCCCCCAAACATCAATGGTGACCATTGATACCACCAATACTTCAGGTGACCAAAAGAAACCCAGATGAATTTATTAGGAGAGTGGCTGACAGCAGCCAGACACAATAGAATCTCTGCTGAGCTTCCCTGGCCCTATTCCAGCATAGAACAAAAATAAAATGTAACTGTGTAACATCTCAAAATGCTCTGCTTCCTCTCAAAATCATTAACCAGATGATATTTCTGATGGTTTTATGGTGTTTCTCTTCCTCCAAGGCCTGATAATGACTGTCAGCAAACCCTGTTACTTTGGGAACCTCCTGCTGGGGATTGTTGGAGTAGATGTCAATCTTGCCTATATCTTGGAAGATGTCACCTATTACCAGGACTCCTTGGGATCCTACACCTTCCTCATCGATAATAAAGGTAATTTGGGCTCAGATCATCTCCTCTAGTCCCACCAATTCTGAATTCTCACATCTCTGAGCAGTCTCTAAGTAATGAATGATAATATTCATTAAAACTTTAATCACGTGTTGTTGGTTAGTTTTGCCTGGATGTTGCTGGAGATTTTAGGTGGATTCCTGGCTTGAAACTCCTATCCTGGAGTTCTGGTTTGGAATCTCTTGCTGTGGGGATTTCCTACACCTGTGACATCTAAGGTTTTCTGGGAAAGACAGAAAACTGATGTTAATGTGTGTTTCCAGCTCTTTACCTCGGATCCAGCTTGTTTTATTGCTGATTTTTTCGAGCTGCTTTTCATTTGCAACCCCTTTGATGATTGTTTGGTCACTGCCGTCTTCGCCAAAATAATTTGTAATTATACATATTCTTTTTTCCCCCTAAAATATCTATCCTAGGCTCAGTTTTGTAATGCATTCCATGTTTGGGATTTTGTTTGTTTTTTAGGGTACACTCTGATGCACCCCTCCCTGACCAGGCCCTACCTGCTGTCTGAGCCTCCTCTCCACACAGACATCATCCACTACGAGAACATCCCCAAGTTTGAGCTGGTGCGCCAGAACATCCTCAGGTGAGGAATGGGATGCAACTCCCAAATGAGCAGCACTGGGAGCATTTCTAGAGGAATTTTAAGAGTATAGAAGGTAAAAATCCTTTTCTTACAATATCTGGATGCTTGGATGGATTTTTTTTCCCCCCTTAACAATTCTGGTTTGATTTTTCCTCCAACTTTTTTCAATTGTCATTTGTTCCATAGTGTTTCCCAACTGATCTGGGGAATATTCCTTCTAATCTCTCTCTTCCCACTCAGGAAGATTTCCCACTATTTGTTCTGAGCTTTTTTTTATCCTTTGCCTAATCTGAGAATTTTTAAGATTAAAAAGTGCATTTTCAGCACACACACACGCTTTCCTTCACCAAGCACAAATAACATTCCTTCAATTCTTACGATAATTATATAAACACACAATAGAAGGATTTTGCTGAAGCCCTAACAGTTTTGCTCAGTGTTTAATAAAATGCTGGATGTTTTATCTGCCACTGCAGCATTCCCTTGGGCAGCCAGATCATCACAGTTCCTGTGAACTCCTCGCTGTCCTGGCACGTCAACAAGCTGAGGGAGATTGGGAAAGAAGCCTACAACGTCAGCTATGCCTGGAAAATGGTGAGGAAAACAAGTGTGGGAATTCATGGCTCTGCTACTGTCCATCCTTCAGTTTGGGAATATCTAATCACTAATCTCAACCCAGGGATTAAAATGGAATCTGAGGTTAAACATAATCCAGGTGAATTCACTGATGCCAGCAATAATTGGTTGCTTTGTGCCAACAAACTCAAGAAGGTACTCGTGAATCATTTCACAGTATGAAGTTAAATCCAACCTAAAGGATTAAGCTGAGCAGTTTTAAGAGATTAAATCTGTCGTTGTTTAACAGAATTTCACACAGGAAGATGTCTGGAGCTGATTTTTTAAGATTGTAATGCTGCATTTAATACCAAACTCCCTTTGCAGAGCAGCTGGGACACTCCAAGGTTTGCTGGTCTGGTGTAATTTAGAGTTCTTAAAATACCAAACCAGTAAAATATGTGGCACATGCAGCAAACAATTAAGAGTGAAAATAATAAAATCTTGCATTTGAGAGTTAACTTGTCTGTACTCTCCATAAAGGTAACAGTGTGTGTCCAGCAGCTGGAAACCTCTCCTCTGTTAATGACAAAAAATATCCATGAAACAGTGTTAGAATTAGAAATTATTGCTAATTGAGCAACAAAATTAAAATTTTGTTTGGTTTTCAGGACTACAGTATTTTTATTTTCTGTGTTAACTGTGGGAAAGTGTTTTTTGTAGAACTCAGTGGCTCTGACACACAGAAATTCTGTTTGGTTCTGTCTGGTGCAGGTGCAGGACACGTCCTTCATCCTGTGTGTGGTGGTGATCCAGCCAGAAATTCCCGTGAAGCAGCTGAAGAACCTCAACACTGTCCCCAGCAGCAAACTGCTCTACCACAGACTGGACCTGCTGGGCCAGCCCAACGCCTGCCTGCACTTCAAGCAGCTGGCCACGCTGGGTGAGGGCCTCTGCCAGCCTGTCCTGGCCACCTGAGGGACACAGGAGCATCCAGCTTGGGAAAAACCTCCAGGGTCCAGCCCCAGCTGTGCCAAATCCCCACCTTGTCCCCAGCCCACAGCCCTGAGTGCCACCTCCAGGAATTCCTTGGGCACCTCCAGGGATGGGCACTGCAAACCTCCCTGGGCAGTTCCAGTGCCTGAGCTCCCTTTCCATGGGGAAATTCCTGCTGATGTCCAACCTGAGCTCCCCTGGCACTGTCACACCTCCTGTGTGTTTCTGTAAAGTGTGGCAGCACAAAGGAAAGCTCTCCTCACAAAACATGGGAAGCACTCTTCCCTTGAGAAGCTTTTATTCCCAAGGCAGATTTTGTGATCAGCTTTTACCTTCTCACAGCTCTCCTTGGTCACAGTGACCTGCTCAGTGCTGAGCTCTTCCACAGAATCACAGCCTGAGCTGGATCCCACAGGGATCATGGAGTGTAGGGCCCAGCCAGGGATTGAATCCACAACTTGGTCATCATCAGCACTGGGTTTTAACCAACAAATTTACTTCCTGCAGGATGAATGAGTGGGGCTGCTCGTCAGAGTGGGAGATAAATGCTCTGGGAGTCCAGCAGGGTCCCTGACAGTGCAGAGGGAGGAGTAGAAGTGTCTCACCAAGCTTAAACCAAGTCCTCTCCTGGCTCTGGAGCACCTCCCTGAGCAGTAACAGAGTAGGATGAAGTCCCAGCCAGTTGTGCAGGACTCTGCTGCTCTTTTGCTTTGGATTTGGGGAAGTTTTTCGCTGCCAGAAGCACTGAATGCCTTCAGAGTCAGAAGTTAAGCCTGTTGGGGAGAATATCAGTGCTCTGAGGGTTTCCAGACCCTCCTCACCTGCTTCAGAATTCTCAGGTTTTGATAGGCTGAAGTGGTTCTGCTCTTCCTGACTGATTTCAAACATTGCTGTGAAAAAGGGAGAAGCTCCATGGCAGTTCCAGTGGCTGGGAAGGATGGAGAACTTAAAACCCAGAAATAACCCAAGAACAGAGGGGTTTTACATAAACATCCTACACTGGACGCTGTCATATTTAGGTATAATCTTGAGAGGTCCCTAAAATCTCTAGTGTAAGAAGTTCTGAATTAAATACTTCTGCTTGTAGCAGGGTTTGAAGGTCTCATGCTGGATTAGTGGCACAGTTGTGAGATTTTCCTTAGCTCTTTGTAGCCCTGCAAAATAACTCAGTGAGATCAGACTGGAGGAGGGAGCTGACAAACCTGTGGAAATCGCTTTGCCAGTTGTTTAAAACACAGAGTTGTTTTGTTTTTTTCTTTAACGTGGTGCCTAATCTTGATTATCTTATATCCAGAAAGATGTAAATGGAGAGTATCCCAAAAATGCAGTACTAAGCTGTCAAGTGGAAAAACTTCACTCAAAGCAAAATCAGAATATTTGCTCTGGGAAGCAGATGAAGGACTGGAGTAGAAGTTTGGAAGTGGGGACTGCAGCACACGTGTGGGGCTGTGTTTGAGAGGAATGTGACTAAAAGCAGAACACTTCACATACTGCACTGCAGTTTTTCCTCTGGAGACCATTCCACACAGAGAATTTGGGTTCCATGGGTCACATCCTCAAAAAAGATCTTCTTAACCCTCAGCCCTGCATCATCATAATCATTTCTCTTCTTAAAAAAGGAAAAGCTGTCTGGTTTTACAGATCCTGCATGGTGCAAGTTTACTTTCAAGTTTGTTCTGAAAATCACTCCAGACACCTGCACTTTTATTGGGGAGCTCCTCTTGTGCACTTGGGATTCTCCAGATGTTATTCTCTGGAACTGAAACACTCATTTTCCTTTTCCTCTGGGATATCTAACCTAAACAGGGCTACTTAATTTCTTCTTTAGCCCATCATCTTTCCTTAAGGGAAAACAGCTTCTGTAATCTCACAAAAAGTAATTCAGAAATTATTGAAGTTTGGGAACAAGGGCATTGAGTACCAAATGACACACAGAGATCAGACAAGGGGGGCTGAGGCTGTGACTTCTGTGTTTTGAGGTGAGAAGGGGAGGAGGAGTTCATGTGCAGCCTGAGTTGAGGAGGAAATTGTGCTGGGAAGTGCTCTGGCTCGGGTGGAAAAATGGACATTTCCTGCCCTCCCTCCCAGTGCAGAGCATCCTGCAGGATGGCACAGCCATCCTCAACCTGCAGTGTGTCCTGAAAGGGTGTTTTGGTGTTTGCAGAGAGCCCCACGGTGATGCTGTCTGCAGGCAGCTTCTCCTCCCCCTACGAGCACCTGAGCCAGCCCGAGACCAAGCGGATGGTGGAGCACTACACGGCCTACCTGAGCGACAACACGCGCCTCATCGCCAACCCCGGCCTCAAGGTGGGACCTCAGCACACCTGGGCCTTCCTCGTGGCCCATTCCCACAGGGAATCCCAGAATCCCAGCACATTCCATTGGGAGGGACCTTAAAGCCCATCTCATCCCACCCCTGCCGTGGCCAGGACACCTTCTGTCTGCCATCACTACTTCTGTCCATGACTTCACACTGTCCCAGCGTGCTCCTCATGCCTTGGGGTTTTATCTTTTCTATTTCTCATGTGTCTGTAATCCTGCAGTTCTTTAGTGCACAGCTCCAAACTCCATGTTCCACCTTCAGCTGCTTTCCCACTTTGGTCAGACACAGCAATTCCTCTCCAGGCCTGGGCATCAAGGACTCCTCACTGCCTCAGGCCTGAGAGATGGAAACAAAAGTGAGTTGGGGGCAGCAAACTGGGGCTAAATGACTTCATGACCTGGAGCTGGAATTGGGAAATGAACCCCCAGTGTGCAAATGGAGCAGATTTATCAAAGTGTAAAAGGCGTGGTTCATTTTGGGTGCAGCCCCTGGGGGGCTTTGTGTGCCCGAGAGGCACCTGAAGGCCCTTCAATAAATAGAGCAGCTTTTTATTCCCTTAACTCTGTCTGGCCTCTGCTTTTAGGTGGCCCCAAAAAGGCACCACTCCAAGCTGGCCTTGGCCACTCCCAGGGATCCAGGAGCAGCCTCACCCTCCCAGCCAGGAATTCCTTCCCAACATCTGATCTAAGGGTGGACAGAGGAGGGGGACAGAACTTTGTTGAAACAAACACTAGAAAAGTTAAAGCCACGCTGAATTCTGAGCTGAAACACCTTAGGCATACAAATGAGAAATCTCTGTTTCCAGTGCAAGCAGCACATTATTTATATTTACTCCAAGTTAAAAAAACAACCCCACAAAGTAAGGAGATAACCCCAACAACATTTCACTCTAATAATCTGCTTGGAATGTCTGGTGTGAGAAGCCTTGAACCAAGCAATTGAGCCGAGATGATCCCCGATGGCTCTGGGGGAAGCTTTTATTATCTTGCCATGCAAGTCCTGCAGGAACCCTGCCAGCTCTGCCTTTGTTTTGCAGTTTTCTGTCAGGAATGAAGTAATGGCAACCAGTCACGGCACGGATGAATGGATGACCCAGATGGAGATCAGTGGCCTCAACAGTTACATTGTCAGGCGTTACATAGCAACCCCCAACGGGGTGCTCCGCATCTACCCCGGCTCCCTCATGGACAAAGCATTTGATCCCACCAGGAGACAATGGTGAGTTTTTAGGGTCCCTTCAGCAAAGCTTTGAATCATCTCCGAGGGCAAGAAGGGAAATATTTAGAGTTGGTTTTGTTTTTAGAGTTGGTTTTGTTTTTAGAGTTGATTTCGGTTTTGGAGTTGATTTTGTTTTTAGAATCGATTTCGTAGCCTGTGGGTTTTTGTTTTGTTGTTTTTTTTTTTTAAATTGAGTTGAAAATGTTTTTGTTGTGGAGAAAAAATGCAGCCAGTTCAAACATTTCTTGGTTGTAATTTCAGGCGTTTTTATTTTGTGGGGTAGTTGGTGTTTCATAGCCCAGCTATGGCAGATGGGGACATAAATATTCAGAAAATGAGCATCCCCTTCAGGGATTAGCTAATTCAGGAGTATTTGAGCTCCTTGGGCCCTTTTTGGTTGTTCATATTTGAGCCTTTTTGTTTGTTTACTGTGGGTTTCCTCACTGCTTTCAAGGAGGGATTAATTATGCAGCAGCATCTGATTTGGGCAGAGAGCTGGGGACGTTCCAGATGGGAGCAGGCTCTGAAGGATCTGTGGGAAGGAGCCAGCCAGGTGCTGCCACACTGGGAAAGGCCCAGATCCCATCCCTGTGGCTCTGCAGTGCTCCTGGCACCTCTCCTGCTCCACGTTTTCCCTGGAATCCGTAGCATTCTGGGAAGAAGGTGCAAACAAAACACTGGGAGTAAAGCAGAAATGGGTCAAGCTGCTCATGGCTTGGTGCTCTGCATAGGGAGAAGCAAGGTGATCACTTCTTCTTACACAAAAATGTTTCCTAAAGTTGTATCAACTTTCCTATAGCAGTTTCATCAACTATCTTATGACTGTGGCTTATTTTTTTGCTGATGGAAGTTTTAATATGTTGTGATTTATAATCGCTGTTTGATATTTCTGAATTTTCTTGCCTCAGTTCTGTCTTTTCTCCTCAGTTTGCAATGTAATCGTTTTGCCAGGGTTTGCTTTGAGTTTGAAACTCTGCTGGCACCAAGTCCTGCATTGTTCTGGGGGAAAATGTCTGAAATTACATTAAATGTGTTGTGTGCAGAAGTAAACTGAGCTTTTTTAATGCAGCTGGATGTACTGGGGGACCATTTATTGAGCCAGTCTGGGTTAGTTTGGAGTCCCAGTTGTGTTTAGGTACTTGTTTGATATTAAAAACCAGTAATTTGGTGCCTGATGTATGCAGTGTACAGAATTCAGTGTGTGTTATTTCAGGAAAGTCAAGGGTTCTGTCTGGAAGTTACAGACTTTGGCATTAATTCTGAGCATTTCTTTTGGCTTCCCTCAGGTACCTGCATGCAGTGGCCAATCCAGGACTGATCACCTTCACTGGGCCCTACCTGGACGTGGGAGGGGCTGGATACGTGGTGACCATCAGCCACACTGTCCATTCCTCCAGGTCAGGGGCTCTGGGGCTCTGGGGAAGGCAAAAAAACTCTGAATTATCACAGTTGGGTGACTCTTGTGTGCTCAAGAACTGAAAACCAAAGCTGGTCTTAAAGTGCTGGTGGTGAAATGTCAGCTGACCTTGTGGAAATGGGGCATTGGAACACTGGGAGAAAAAACCCATATAAAACCCTATAAAAACCCATTTTATAGGAATCTGAGGATTCTGGAGCTTTATTGGTAGAGGAGTAATAACAGCATAATAAAAAAAAGGATTGATTGGTGGGAAAGTGTTCCTGGATGAACACGAGGTGGGATGTCCAAGGAACTGGGGGGAGGAGAGGGGTTGCTCTCCTGAGGCAGTTTGGGAAGTGTTCCCTCTCTGCTGGAGTTAAATCCTCCTCCATCAGGACTGCCAAGCTCCACATTTCCTGAAGTTCTCCACTTGTGGGGTTTTAAGGAGCAGGGAGGTGTTGGGGAGGGAACTGGAAGCTGATCCAAGGCAGAGGGGCCAGGCCACAATGGGGGTTAAGGACAGAGCTGTCCTTACTCCAGGAATTGGGGAGCTCCTCTCCTGAGCTGTTTAAATCCAGCACCTCTGGGCTTCCAGGAGGAGAAAGACCTTGAGGCAAAGCCTGTGAATCTCCAAGAGCCCTTCCAGGATTGCTGGGAACAGATTGGAGTGGGAACAGCAGGGCCAGGAATTGGGCTGGATGATCCCTGTGGGTCCCTTCCAGCTCAGGATATTCCATGAGTCTGTTAAATGACTTTTTCCTGGAGGACCAGGCTGTTGCTGTTCCAGCTCCCAGCCCAAGGCCAGGATTTGGGATGAAGGATGTTTAATGGAGCCCAGTTTACAAAACATGGACCAAACCTTGCTGTCACAAGCTCTCCCAAATTCCCAAAATAGCAGTTCCCTGTCCTGGTTTTTACATGGAGTCTCCTCCAAGCTCCCTACCCAACAGCTCACCAGTACAGAGGTAACTCCCAGTGTTTTACTGGGAAACAGCAGGGAACAGAAGGTGGCTCCTCCACTCTTCCCAGAGATTCCCCTGCTTTGTGGGGATTTCCCAGCACCTCTCCCTGTGTGTTCTGGCATTTTCAGCCCCAGCCCCTGCGTGGTGCTTCTCACAGAGGAATTGATTTTGGGGAAACGAGCACTTCTGTAAGGAGAGAAGTGTAATTAATCAAAATTCTGATTTTTATCTAGCAAGGGATGGTTTACTCAGCTCTAAGAACTTAAAGCTCCTGTGGGTTATTAGAACATGATTAAAGAACAGTTAAACAAAGTTTGGCAGATGTGAGTGTGATTCCTGGGTAAATATGACCTCTGAAGCTCTAGTCACATGTGGTTATAATCCCCAAAGAGGCCTGAGCTCCAAATCCAGAGGGGTGGGGAGGAATCCCTGGAGTTAACAGGAATTCTGGCATTAGGGACTGCTGGGAGGCTTTAAACACCCTGAGCTGACACCTCTCATTCCCATTTTATGTTTGTCTTATTTCTTTTTATGGAGTCTGGGAAGAGAAGATTTCTGCCTGATGTGGTTTAATGCAGTTGGCATCAGCAAAGCAGGAGGATTTAATGCTTAAAAGTGAAGCTAAAATATTTACAATATTCTAATGGCTTTATGTCTGTTAGGACAGAGCAGAACTTCAGAGCTCGATGCCTTGTCACACATGAAATGTGTCTGTGCTGCTTCACTGCCATCCTTGCATTCCTCCTCCAGGAAATGTGAACAGTAAATTAAACACAGGTTTTCAAAATCTATATTTATCTGTCTACAAATGAGATTTGACTACATCTCCACTGCACCTCTTTCAAAAGCAAACAAACCTCAGCCCAGTAAACAGAGCTGGGTTTCCATGGAGCAGGGGTGGCCAGAGCTCTGTTTGTGCAGTCCAGCTGGGCCTTGCAGCATCTTTTTTATTTATTTATTTATTTTTCCTTTTTATTTTATTAATTTTTATTCTTCTGAGATAAAATAATGGAGAAAAGTGAATTTTGAAGAGCAGCGAGTCAGAGGCGTAGGGTGCATGTGGGTGTGAATCCCACACCCTTGAGCTCTGATCTTTTTGTGTCCTGCAGGGGTGAGGGGGGACTGGTCTGGCTGTGCCCCCTCAGTGCTGCTGGGAGCAAACTGGGAGCAAACTGGGAGAACTGGGGTGTGGAGGAAGGACAAAATGCAGCCTCAGGCTGCTGCACCGGCACATCACAGGATCCTTTTCATAATTCACCCTAAGAAATGTTACTTACTTCTAATTTTCTGCCTATCATTCATAATCAGTGCCACACTCTGGAGTTTTAGGGAATTAACTCAAAGTCTGGCACCTTCATATTCCTCCCTCCTGCTGGGGGCTGAGCAGAGGAGGGTGCAGGTAACTCCTGCCAGCTGGGGGGACTGGAAAACACAGGGGCTGCATCCTCTGGTTGTTTGTTTGTTTGTTTGTTTGTGTGGATGGGGAATTTTTAATCCTAGTTTCTTTAGCTCAGTATTAAATGTCTGTAGGGGGTGGGAGTGTGTGTAGGGATCCACTCCTGGGCTGTCCCCTGTGCTGGCTGCACAAGGGGCAGACTGAAATAGGAATTATTCTTATCATGATCATTATTTCCCTGAAAAATAATACTTTTTATTATTTCTAGTATTTCTAAGATTTCTGATTTTCCCCTTTCCCCCTCACTGCAGTGCTCAGATGTCCTCAGGACACTCCGTGGCCGTGATGGGCATCGACTTCACCCTCAGATATTTCTACAAAGTCCTCATGGACCTGCTGCCAGTTTGTAACCAAGATGGGGGAAACAAAATCAGGTAAAAGCTGCTCCTGCCAGGCACAAAATAAATAAGATATTTCTTTTCTTTAACCAGATGACCCAAAGGTCATTTCCAACTTCATTTCTCCAAGGATTCTGTTACTTTCAGTGTGTGTTCTCTGATTTCCAGTAGAACTTGTGCTTGTTCTTCTCATAAAGATTATGTGGATGTTTTTGTTATTCCAGGTCAAACTGCCATCAGCTAAATAAACAATCTGCAGGATTACAAAAGCAGAAGATAACAGATTTGATTTGATTTTTTTTGGTTATATTTAGACTTCTTTAAATTCTGGATTTAAAAAAACATTTCTTATTAAATGAACACACTTCCCAGTTCTTCTGTTTGTTTTAATTTCACCTATTTAGCTCCTGTGAGCATGTAAGAATGATACAGGATCTCAGTTATTTTAACTCCAATTATTCAAATACACTTTTGGTATGTTTTTCTCAGAAATCCACAGCACAGCCTAGGCAGAAGAAGTCTGATTTCATCTGGAGTATCCAATTTCAGTCAGACCCCTGGGTATCTTAATTGTTCCTTTTTTTGAAAAATCCTGTGGGGGTGGCATAAATTCTGGTTTGGATCTGGAGTAACTTGATAACGTGGTTTGGGCATTGCTGTTGGTGCCTTGTTTGTTTTTAAACCTTAAATTTGGGAAGGGAAGTGGTTTTCTGTCATCCTCCCAGTTCTTTTCTGGTTTGGGTATTTTTCTGTGTATTTTATGGAATATAAAAAAAAAACAAAAACAAATCAGGATTTCTGGTTTGGCATCACTCCCTCCCATTAAAAAACAGCAAGGTCAGATGCTTCATTCTGTTCCTGCATTCCCCAAATGAGGAATTCTGAGAATATTTTTCAGTGTTGGTCCGTTCTGATTTAGAAATTGGATCCAATGTTTCCAGTCTTGACATAAGTGCAGATGTTTGGGGTTTTTTAGTATATCTCTCCTAAGGATTTTCTGTCAGGAAAAAGAGCAAACACCACATCCCTACGTGCATTTCTGATGGAAACCCCCCCAAAAATCCAAGTTTTCCTGCCTCCTTTGTACCCCCAAAGAGCACAGAGGCTCCCCCTGCTCTCAGCTGCCCCCGAGCTGCCCTGGGTACCTGACACATCCCACGGGAATCCCATTGAAAGCTGCTCCAGCCCCGGATCCAGCCGGATTCCCGCTGTGCCAGGGCTGTGCCTGCCACCCTGCTGAGCTTTTGGGAACATCAAGTGGGATTTTAACCTCCCCCTGTCCCCTCTGTGGCCACCGAGCCCCTGATGTCGGTGCCACCATGGCCAGGGCTCCTGCGCCTTCCCCGGCGCTGCCGTCTGTGGCCATGGAAACGGGAGAGGGGGGAAAAAGGGATGGATTGAACTGCCTGGATTCTGGATTGGGACACAGAGCCTACGTGGGAAGAGCTGAAAAGGGAGAGGAAGGCTTGGGAAAGCTGGGAGTGGAACAGGAGTGATTTATCCCCCACTAAAATTGAATTCTGAAGGGGGGAGAGCATTAAAGGAGAGTGTGAAATCTCTCTTTAATTAGTCACATAGTAAATTAATAAACCATTAAAGCTTTCCAAGTTCATTAGGCTCTGTTCATTTCTGGCTCTTCCCCAATCAGACAATGCACTGATGGCTTTTCCTCTCTGGTTTTAATCAGCTCTGTTTTCAACTCCTTGATGGCTCTGGCCCTCTGGAGCAGTAACAGATGGAAAAGCTTCGGGGAAATACCCAACACATTCTTTAAGGACATTTTGCAGGGAATTTGTTTCATGGTCCTGTTAAATGGGAACCTCTAAAAGCCCTTTAGGACCATGTTTTATTCCACCCTGTTCCCCTGAAGCCCAAGGAGGTCTAACAGGAGGCTCTTGCTGTGTTTTGGGGAGCAGGTGCTTCATCATGGAGGACAGGGGGTACCTGGTGGCACATCCAACCCTCATCGACCCCAAGGGCCACGCGCCCGTGGAGCAGCAGCACATCACACACAAGGTCTGCCTGCTTTCCCTTGCCTTATTCCAGACCTCTCATTCCTGAGCTGATTCCAAAGGCATCAAATCCCACCTTTCACCCTCAGGAGCCTCTGGTAGCAAACGACATCCTGAACCACCCCAACTTCGTCAAGAAAAACCTCTGCAACAGCTTCAGCGACAGGACCGTGCAGCGCTTCTATAAATTCAACACCAGCTTAGTGGTGAGCCTGGTTTTCTGTCTGATTTTTGCTTTGGAGTCTGCTTTGGTTGGGTTGGGTTTCTTCTGCTGGGAACACGAGTCCCTGCCAGGCTCAGGGAGCCAGCCTTCCGTGGGGATTGGCCTCTGCTGCCCTGCTCCAGACACAAACCAGGCTGCACAAGCAGAGTCCCCTGACATGCAGGGGTTGTGGATGGGAGCCCTGGCCAAGCGTGGCTGCTGTCTGCAGCCAGCATTGGGGCAAGAAGGGCAGTTTGCTGTGGCTGGGTGAGGATTTGCCAGCTGTAGTTGGGATGTGTTGCTTTGGTTCTGACCAGTGTCACATCCTCCTGTGAGGACTCTAATAACTGACCTTTGCGTGTCCAAATAAATCCATTTACTGGTGAGCATTCCCAGGCTCTCATTTGTGAGACTGGAATCCTGCACACCCTGTGCTCTCCATGGATCCTGTGTGAGCTTCCTCTTGTGAGGAGTCTAAACCAGGGGCTGCCATCCCTCACAGAGCCACAGATCCACCCAGCTCCCTCCACAATGATTCCAAAGCTGTTACACTGTGGGGGAAGATTTGAAAATATTTGCAGTTCATGTCAGAAATACATTGATTTATTTCAGGTCAGCTTAAACATTTTCCTCACACTCGAAATGCCAAGTGGGAAGTGTGGTATTGGGAAGGAAATTGTGTAGGACAGAGCAGAAACTTGGAAGAAGGAATCAGGAAGGAGTCTGCAGGAGCTGGGCAGTGCTGTGGTGGCTTTTTTTAAGGCTCTGGAAGTTTCCAGCACTTGGTGGTGGTTCCCATCAGAGCCTCTGGGGTGGTCACTGAGGGCTGGGTCAGCGAACGAGCTGAAATGTCACCTCTGCTGCCACATCTCTTTTTCACAAGCTAAGCCAGTTCCTTTCTATCTTCAGCAAAGTCTTTGCACCCAGAAGTATCTGAGAAGCAAAACTCACCCACCCCTTAATCACTTTAATTGTGAAGGTGGCACTCCCTCACAAAAGCTCCTGAGAGGAGCCACCACCTCTGGAAGCCGTGGCACAATTCCTGTCCCCACAGCTCTGCAGGATCCCATGGGAAGGGAAGAGTTTTCATCTCCCTAAACCAACATTTTCCACTGCTGACACCTTGTTTTTTGCCCAGGGTGACCTGACCAACCTGGTGCACGGCAGTCACTGCTCCAAGTACAGGCTGACGAGGATCCCGGGCACCAACGCCTTCGTGGGCATCGTCAACGAGACCTGCGACTCGCTGGCCTTCTGTGCCTGCAGCATGGTGGACAGGCTGTGCCTCAACTGCCACAGGTGCCAGCGCTGGGGGCGGGCTGGGACACTCCTGCCCTCTTCCCTGCTTGCAGTTTGTAAGGACACAGTGAGTTTGTCACTTTGTTCCGTGCAAAATCAGGGAAAATAAGAGTTGTGCTGCCGGGAAGAGGTGCAGGCACTTGGGGTTTCTCTGCCGGGTTGTCAGAGTTTAACCCAGGGGATTTTGGGGAGATAATGCTGGAAGAGATTCAGTGGCTCAAAAGCAGCTACCTGTGAGTGAGCCCCTTCCTTCTGGCACAGGAATTCCCATGATTTTACGTGGATTGGGGGTTTTTCATTAAGGAGGTCCAGGAGGTTTTGCCCACACCATCCTGAGGTGTTTGTGGCACTGCCAGGAAGGATCCTTGCATCCAGATATCTGAGGGACTGCCTGCTTTTGCAATTCCAGGGGTCATCCTGAGTCCTGGAGCAGGACAGAGCAATCCTCGTTCCTGGGGAAGCAGCAGAGTCCCTGGACAGCCTTTTCCATGGGAGCTGCTGCTCCAGAGCTTCACCAGCATGGGGTTAAAATCCCAGTGGTGTCTTATGGTTTTTCCCTGTGTTTTGAGCCCTGCAGGATGGAACAGAACGAGTGTGAGTGTCCCTGTGAGTGCCCACTGGAGGTGAACGAGTGCACTGGGAACCTGACCAACGCCGAGAGCAGGTGAGAGCCAGGACACTGCAGAGCAAATCCTCTGTTGGTGCTGCTGAGATCAGGATTTTTAGTACAACCAAGCAGATGACATGCAACAGGTAAAGGTTATTTTCATTGTGATTTGTAACAAGGCTTCTCTTGGCTCCAATGCAGGAATCCGAGCTGTGAGGTGCATCAGGAGCCGATGACTTTCACGGCCATCGATCCCAGCCTGCAGGATGCACTCCCACAGTGCATCAACACCCAGTGCAACCAGAGGACAGAGAGTGGGTAGGTGGCCTTCCCCACCCCTCAGAATACTCTCTTGTGGAAATAATCCAATGGAAATAGCTCTGCTTTAAATGTTTGAAAGAAAAAAATATAGGGAAAAAAAGCATGATGCCAAAATGAGGTACTCCTGGCATTGAGGGCTCATTTTTGCTCATTAAGAGCAGTCTCCAGGGACCTGAGCTGGCTAAAACACTCTGACCAGACTGCCCAAATCCTTTCTTCCATCTTCCAAAGGCTGCAGAGAAAGGTTGGAACTGCAGCCAGGCTTCACCACACTGAGAAATGTCTTACTGGAGGAGTTACAAGTAGGATTCTCCTTTTGCGCAGGCTGAGTGGTGCAGGAAAATACCAAAGCAGACAGAGCTGAAAAAGGGATGCTGGAAATGCAGCTTCCCTTGTGGTACTTGAGCACTTCCATGGAATTTTTTCTTGCTAAACTCACATACTTGGGGGTTGACAGATGCTTTTGGCCTCCCTCTGCCTCATGGCTGGAAACCAGAGTGAGCTTTGCAAAGGAGAGGTGTTAGCCTGGAAGGTAAGCGTGTCTGACTTGATGTTCCCACGCAGGGATTGCTTCGGAGTGCTGGACTGCGAGTGGTGCATGGTGGACAGCGATGGGAAGACCCACCTGGACAAGTCCTACTGTGCCCCTCAGAAGGAATGCTTTGGTGGCATCGTGGGAGCCAAGAGTCCCTATGTGGATGACCTGGGAGCAATAGGTAACTCTGCCTTTCTGAGCAGGCGCTGCCTTCAGAACATGCAGCAGGTTCTGCACAGAACATTTACCCCTTAGTCCCGTGCCAAAGCAGCATAAAGAGTGCAGCAGGCAGCAAGGATGTGGTGAATATCACCTTTTGGAAAATCCTGATGTGGAGCTGGGTGTAACTCTGCATTCCTGTCTTTAAGATGCACCCTCTCTGAATTCCTTCTCCTATTCCAAGTGAGCACAGTCACAGAAATCCTTGCAGAGCTTCTCCATATTCCATAGTGTTGATTTAACCCTTCCTGCAGAGCATTTACGGTGTTGTTATCCCTCTGCTTTGTCCCTTTTGCTTTAGGAGATGAGGTGATCACCCTGAACATGATCAAGAGTGCCCCCGTGGGCCCCGTGGCTGGAGGCATCATGGGCTGCATCATGGTGCTGGTGCTGGCCGTGTACGCGTACCGGCACCAGATCCACCGCCGCAGCCACCAGCACATGTCCCCGCTGGCAGCACAGGGTGAGCTCAACTACAGACTCAATAACAGGGTGGGGATGAAAACAAATCCAGCAGCACCACAGAACCCAAAGGAAATGCAGTCCCAAAGCTCCGCCCGGTTTTGTTGCAGCGTTTCCCTGGTTTTACTCCGTGTTGGAGCTGCAGGGAGCCCGGCCCGGCTGTGTCTTGCTGCCCTCTCCTGGGTACAGCCAGAGCTGCTGCTCTGCCCAGGGAGCCTGCCCAGACCCAAAGGGAGATAAGCTGAGCTTTGCCAGAGCTCAGACACTAATCCCAGCTTTCTGCAGCTCTGCCCAGCAGATCCATCACCATAAGTTTATTTTGTGCAGCTGCTGGGAATGACGCACTTTTCACCCCCTTTTGCCTTGGGTTTGGGATGTGTCTTTTTTCACTTGTTCATGGAACGTCTGCACATAGAGATGAAGCCACTGAAGTCTGAGAGGCAAAATTGTGCTGGGAGGAGGGAAACTGGTACAAAAATAAAGATCCAGAGGTGGGAACACCTCCCTGGAAGTGTTCCAGGTCAGGTTGGACAGAGCTTGGAGCAGCCTGGGACAGTGGGAGGTGTTCCTGCCTGTGGCAGGGCGTGGAAAAAAATGGGCTTTTAAGGCCCTTTCCAATCCAAACCATTCTGGGAATTAAAGTGTAATCAGAGCTAATTACCTCTGTATTTGATCATTCCCAGCTCTGTTGTAAATCACTTCCTTCAGAACTTTAAAGTGAGTCCCTTTCAGGGATTTTCCTGCTATCCCAGCCCCATCCACGTTGGAAGAGGAGCACCCCCAGCTCAGACCAGCACCACAAAGTGCTCCCACTGTTGTTACTGGGCTGAGAGCTGGCAGTGAGATGATGCAGGGCTTTTCTCTCACCAGTGGTGTTTTCTGTTTGTAACCCTGTGTAGAAATGTCAGTGCGTATGTCCAACCTGGAAAACGACAGGGACGAGAGGGATGATGACAGCCACGAAGACAGAGGAATCAGTAAGTACCGAAAAAACTGCCCAAAACTGTGAGATTAAATCAGCCATTTGTTTTTTAGCACCCTGGATTTGAATATGTGAGGAAACTCTGTGCTGATCAGCAGTAGAAAATGACAGGGAAATGTTTTAATTCAAACATCCAGTGCACCTTTAGTCTCATGCTGAAAAATGACATTTTTCACTTTTAAAAGATAATTCTTCATTAGGTGTGGAGGAGTTTTGTCCCTTAAAATCCCTTTTCATGAGCACTTCCAGAAATAGCTCTAATCAGCTTAAAAATTGCCACTGTGACAGCACAGGGTATGCAAAACTCTTCCCCCTTTTCAGCCTAGGAAAGCAGAAGCCAAGTCTGGCAGATATGGCCAGCAAACATGGCAGATCTTTTTTGCATTGATTTGGGGTGCCTGCAGTTCTTTGCCATGCAATAAAAATGACATTTTGCATGATCCTGGTGTGCTGTAAACCTGGTGCACCCAAACTCCAGGGGAGCTCCAGTGTCAGACTGGATCCCTGGCCCCACTAAAACAATACTCAAGGTTTGAAGCTGTGTCAAGACTCAAAAATGGAAAAATGAGCATATCTCAGCTTCATGGCTTGCATCTACTGCTTCTCCACGTCCCTTTTTGTTTCCTTTGGAGTTAGTTTACATTGTTGCCATGGGATCCTCAGCGCTGGCACAGCCCAGTGAAGGAGTTTGCCTGGATCTTGTCCCGTTGCCCATGCTCCAGCTCTTTTCCCCGGGGTGCTGGGCAGTATTTTGCAGCAGGGGTGTTGGGGCTGTTGTGGGTCAGGGCTGTGCTCTGAGGTTCCTTTGTGTCTGTCGCAGTCAGCAACACGCGGTTCATCGCGGCCGTGATCGAGCGCCACGCGCACAGCCCCGAGCGCCGCCGCCGCTACTGGGGCCGCTCCGGCACCGAGAGCGACCACGGTGAGTCCTGAGCCCTCGCTTCCTGTGAGGATTGGGGGGCTCCTTGTCCTTCAGGAGTCCTTCAGGAGTCTGGCTCCTTGCGGGTAAGGCAGCCAGAGCCACACAAAACGCTTTGCTCCTTCTCGCTTTGCTGTTGGACGGTTCTGACGCGGTTTGTTCGGAGACCTCGCCGCGGTTCTTCACATCCTGCTGAGGGGCAGCTCTGCCCTCTGCTCCCTGTGCCAGGGGAGGGCTGGGCTGCAGAGCAGGAAAAGGTTCTTCCTCCCCCTGAGGGACCTGGAGTGGGGACGAGAGGAATGGCTTCACACTGAGAGGGAGTAGGATTAGATTAGGGGTTAGGGAGGAATTGTTCCCCGGCAGGGTGGGCAGGCCCTGGCACAGGGTGCCCAGAGAAGCTGTGGCTGCCCCTGGATCCCTGGAAGTGTCCTAGGCCAGGCTGGACAGGGTTTAGAGCACCCTGGGATAGTGGAAGGTGTCCCAGCCATGATGGGGTGGAATGGGATCATCTTTACTGTCTCTTCCAACCCAAACCATTCTGGGATTCTGTGATCTTCCAGCACCTTTGAGCCAGTGCTGGGCACCATTAGCTCAGGGGGGTTGGGATGTGTCTCCCCTGCCCTGAGACTAAATCTCCTTAAATCTGGAAAGCTGCTAGAAGGAGGTAATGCTGTTGACTCATGAGGAGGCTTAATTTATTAGGAAATGAAGAGGAGGAGGGCTAGACAAGGCAGTCTGCAAGCTGTCAGCTCAGCAAGGCTGGGGACCTTCCAGCAGACCTGGCCCAGCACTGAGACTCTGGCTGCACTAATGGAATTGGGACAGGAAACCCAGAGGCCAAAGCCTTGGAACGTGGGGGAACAGATGTCTCCTAGACAATCTTGCTCTTGGAGGAATTACCCTGGATTTGGGGTGAGATTACCTGTGCTGAGGCAGATTTGCCAGATTAATGCTCCCTTTGCTCCTTTTCTTGCAGTCCCAGTAAATCCTTCCCCATCTTTTAGTCATCCTGGGTTAGCAAGGGAGCTGTCTACCTCCATCTGGAATGTGCATTGCTATTTTTAGTTTCTGTAATTCCATCTTCTTCAAAGGGCTGCCCAGGCTTCTCCCCCAATTCCTCCGTGCCAGCTCCAAGCCATGACTCAGAGCATGGGAAATGGGAGGCAGCTTTGGGGACTCAGCTGCTGTTTTTACCACCCTCCTTTTAGGTGTCTCCAGCTGAAAACCTGACCGAGATGCTCAGGAGCACCAGTGCTTACTCAGCCTTTAGTCCTTGTTCTTTGAGAAGGATTGATTTCCAGTTAAAGCAAAATAATTTTCCTTTTAAATTTAATTTGGTTTTGCATTTAGAAATGCTTAGGGGGAGTTGTTTGCCCTGCAGCCTGGTCTGAGTGGGAACAGCTGGTTTGGATAAATCCAGGTTATATCTTAACAGATTTTTTGGGGGTGGTATCTTTTATGTTTTGATTTGAAATCAGTGCCAGCAATTGTGTTGTTACAAACTGTTGAACCACGTGGGTGCTGTTACTGTTCGGGGTGGCACAAACCACAGGTCCCCAAAGCTTTGAACCAAAGATGATAGCAGGGAGAGGAATCCAGTATGGACTTAGAGGGGAGGATGAGTTAGTTTGGGTTTTGTTCCGTTAATTAAGAAAATTGTTTTATTCCCTCTCTAAGTCTTTATTCCCCCATCTCTGTGTGTGATTCCATGAAGGTGCCCAGCCAGCCCTGGCAATTCTGAGAGTCCAGTATAGACTTAGAGGAAAGGATGAGTTTGTTGGGGTTTGTTCCTCTAAGAAAAGAGTTTTATTCCCTCTCTAAGCACCCTGTGTTGACTCCATGAAGGGGAATTCTGAGCATCCAGCCTTGCTGCTCCTCACTGCTGCCGTTTATTCCCAGGCTACAGCACCATGAGCCCTCAGGAGGACAGCGAGAACCCCCCCTGCAATAACGACCCTCTCTCGGCCGGCGTGGACGTGGGGACCCACGACGAGGAGCTGGAGCTGGACACGCCGCCGCAGACGGCCGCGCTGCTGAGCCACAAATTCCACCACTACCGGCTGCACCACCCTGCTCTGCACCACAGCCACCACCTGCAGGCTGCTGTCACCGTGCACACCGTGGATGCTGAGTGCTGAGGGCACACAGCCACCACTGCAGGCTCTGGGGACACCACAGCCACCACTGCAGGGTGTGGGGACTCCACAGCCACCACTGCAGGGTGTGGGGACTCCACAGCCACCACTGCAGGGTGTGGGGACACCACAGCCACCACTGCAGGGTGTGGGGACACCACAGCCACCACTGCAGGGTGTGGGGACTCCACAGCCACCACTGCAGGCTCTGGGGACACCACAGCCACCACCTGCACGGTGTGACATTGAGGACACCACAGCCACCAGCTGCAGGCTGTGGCACTGTGCACTGAGGACACCACAGATGCCACTCCAGAGCCACAGGGACTGTGCTGCTCCCCAGGGACAACCTCACAGCCTTCCCCACCAAACTGAGGCATCAGAGCTTTGCATTTTTACAAAATTTTTGGGCTGGAAACGTGCTTGACGAATGGACCTGCCAAAACACGGAGACAGATGGAGCAGGAGGCACGTTAGAGCTCCAGGAACAGGGATGGGAGTTTATCCAGCAGCTGGAGTTTGTTGTGCTGAGCCAAGAGCACAGAGAGAGCTTAAAGAGCCAGAAATGATTTGGTTTCCTTAACTGGAAGAGCAGGAATCTGCAGCTGGAGAGCCCAGAAGTGCCAGGCAGAGCAGGGAAGGCTTCTCTGCAGGTGGAAAGCTCCCTGTGCCCACGTTGCTGTGCAGGACCTGGGACAATGCATCTCAAGATTTTTAAGTAAAGGATTATTTTTCTACTATTTATTGAACTTGAAACTTTGGGGGGAGGGAGGGGAGAAAACCTGTTAGGGATTCTCGACGAGTACCACGTGCATTCTGTGCTGGGGAAGGGGCTCTTCCTGGGAAAACAGCTGTTCCTGAGGAGCTGAGCTTCACGCAGTGCCCCACTCTGCAAAGGGAAAATGAAGAAGCCCTCTCTGCCTCGGTGTTTACATTAGGATTGCTTTCTTTTCCATACTTGTTTCCTGTAAATATTACAGCCTGATTTCTATTCCAGTAATGTCTTCCTATTTGCAGAGGAGAAATCCTGTACTCTGATACTGAAATTCAGAGAATTCTGCTCAGAAACTTCTCCATCTTTATCTCTTCGCTCATCCTTAAAGGCTTCCTGTGTGGAAGTAATAAAGAAGTGCTTTAGCATTAGTTACCAGATATTCCCAAATGGAATCTGTGCCATTCTTCTGTTTCCTTAGACCACAGGTAGGGATAAACCAGTGTTTTGTAAAACTTGGGTTACTGTGGGAGAAACCTTGAAACCATAATGAGAAGCTGCTGCTGTTTGTCTGGAATTTTAACCTTGCTTGGTAATTCAAACAAAGATTAATCAATGTCTACAACGCAGGACATCGTAATTATCAGTTAGTTTTCAATCACAGTGTTGTATTTTAGATTCACATTTTGTGATTACAATGATATCAAGCCGTTCTTGCACTGTGCATATGGTAAACATCCATTTATATGTAGGTTTTTTTTTAAAAAAAAAAATTCACTTGTTTTAATTAATATGGTACTTAATACTGTATTATGTAAAAAATTGGTTCTTAAACAGTACAGTAAAATAACTCTATGTGTGATACCAGGATACCCCTTTATACTATGTATAAAATTAAAATCTCTAGTGAAATAAACTGTATATAAGTATAGATCTGTGGAGAAGTGGCTGCACTGAAATGATTCTGCCCCAGTTTCCTTCTCTGGCTGAACAGGACTGAAAATTCACTCCAGTTCCTCCAGTTTCATCAACAACCTTGAGGAATCCAAACATGAAATATAAATGACAGTATTGATGGAAGTTTTAAAGCCTTTTTTAGCTGGTTGGTCGTTATCTGAGAAATGACCATATCTGGAAGTGATCAGTCACTGCTTGGAATACCAAAGCAAATAATTTCAGGGTTTTATTTTCCTGATCCTCTCCTGAAACCTCAGTGGCTCTGGATTTGCTGTTGTGCTGTATTTGTGTGGGATTTGGTGGAGGATTTTTGCTGAGCAGGCAGTGCAGGAATCCACTGAGCCTCTGCTTTGTGCTCTCAGAGCTGATGCCCTGGGTATCAACCAGGCTGGGATTCATTTCCAGTTTGGAATCCAGTGCTGGTGCTTGGGTACTGTGGGACAAACCATTTTTGATAAAATGTGTCAGAAATATCATTAACAGCCACGTAAATTGGAAAAAGTCATCATGTTCATCACTTGAACTCCAACATCACTTCAGGGGAGAGGTTTTTTTGGTGTTTCCTCACCTTCCCTGCTAGCAGAAGGTGCTTGCAGGCTTCTCTTGCAGCTCTGCCAGGAACACAGGAGCTTCCAGAACCTCTTGGAACAGCTCTGGGAAATCCAGCAGTCTTTTCCTTCTGCCTTAAAAACTTTTCAAGAGCTTCTCCTCGCTGCTGTTTCACCTCTTTTCTCCTGGGACATACAAACTGTTCTTGATTTGAGGGGTCTGCATAACCTTGCTTAACTTGAAGTGATGGGGAGAGCCCGAGCTCTTGCTGGTGAAAAGTAATCACAGGGAAAACTCTGATTTCCAGGTGTGTCAAATCCCAGCTCCCAGTGCTGGCACTGACCTTGTCCCAGCAGGAATAAATGGGATGCTGGGGAAGATAGCACTGCTGATAATGGATGTGATTGGGGTTTGGCAGGAGCTGCATGAAAGCTCTTCATTTTTATTGCCTTGAGTTGTGCCATGGCCTTCCCTCCCCAGAATTATTTTACTGTGTTGACTGAGGAGCAAGATCATAAAAGGAGCAGTTACACCCTGGATCCTCCTTCCCTAGAATTGATAATACTTTATGGCCATTAATTTTCCACTTACTTCATTTTCCAAACATAGTTTTAATTTTCTGTAGGTTTTCTTTCATTCTCCCAACAACAAAAAATGTTCTTTTAAAGTGAAAATGAGCATTGCCTTTAGTTTGTGTTCATGAATGTTAAACTGACTCGATGCTTGGGGTGTTTGAGATTTGCCAAGTGTATGGATTTTCCTCTATCCAAGGAACCATGGAGAAGCATTTTTATGAGCAGAATATATTGATTGAAAATGCATTAAGATTTTTTTTTTTTAATTTATTTATGCTATTGCCTGGCTAAAAAGTGTGATTTGCAAGGCCTGGTACAATTTACCCATGAACATTTTATAAGGCCACTTAAGCCATGAAATATTATCTTTATCCTTGCCCTTGGCAAGGGCAGGGAAGGGAGGATGGATGGGAATTCGGGAGACATTCACATGCAGCAGGACTTGTGACTATAACTGGGCAAAGGGAGATCTCTCAAAGGCTTTATTCTGTCAAGTGACCCAGAAATGGGCAAGAGGACAGAAAGTGGATTTGTCAGGGATAAAACTATGGGAGCAAGCTGGCAGCAAATACGGAAAAGGAGAAAAAAACTAGGATGCAGAAGTCCTGGATCTAAGAGAGTGCAGGTAATCCAAAAGGCTGTTGGTGAGTTCCAAGATTAATTTGCAGCGTTCCCAGCTCTTGGCTGCCCATTTCAGTTGTTTGTAAAAGAGATTCCCAGCTATGGCTGGGCTTTTCAAAGGAGCCTGCTCTGGGCTGTCAGCGATGTTTGGAATATTAATTCCTGCAGCAGTTAACTGGGGAACCATTGGATTGTTTTGCTGTACAAACCCCCCTTTGCCAGGGAGCCTAAGTGGGGAAAAGGAGCATCAGTGCCACGGAATATTTGATATTCCTGCCTGGCAGCCCTTGGGCTGATGAGAGGTGATGATTTTGTGCTTTGTGCTCCGAGCTGAGCACGGAAGGACCTTGGCCCAGAAGGGCCGGCATTCCCGGAGCCAAGGCTGCGGTGGAATTTGGACACTGCAGTCCAAGAGTGAAGTTCTCCAAGCCCTGCCTTGTTAGTGAGGTGCCAGACACAGCTGGGGTGAGTGCCAGCCCTTGCTCAGACTGCTGGTTCCTCCTCGGGAGAAGATCCCATGGGATCGCTGAAACCCCTTTGGGAGAGGAGGAGCGGGAATGTGATGGCAGAGGCAGAACGTGTCTTGGATCTGGAGGTTTTCTTCAGCTCAGAGTGGCCTCTTTCTAAATCCTGTGGAAAAAATGATCCCTGGGCTCGTTTCTGTCCCTGGGAAGGAGCAATCCTGGTTTGCTCTGGTTTGTTGGAGGTTTTTTGGAGCTGGCAAATCCACCAGGTCAAGTGGCTGGGATTGCCTCTCCTGGGAAAACAGCAGTGACAGCAGGGAAGGGAATCTGCTGGCCAAGGTCACAGGGCTGAAGGAATCCTTCCACCCCACCTTCATCTGCCTCTGGAACAACTCCATGGAGAAAGGGAACAGCCTCCAAAACTGCCAAGTCAGCACTTTCCACAGGCACTTGGCAGGAAAAAAAATGTGCAGGAAGGTGTTGGCAAGGTCCTGACAAAACTGGTGGTCTTTCCTAAAATCCAGGTGAACCATCAGCCCTCCAGGTTTGGCCAGACTTCAGTTAGGCCAACACTGCTGGATTTTTCCAATTTTAAAACTCTTCCATTGCACCGAGGTAATGAAATTGGGCAGACACCCTGAGATGGGCTGGCACCAGCAGCAGGAAACTGGGAATGCAGTCAGAGAGTTTAATATCCTCCTTTTCACTTCTCCAACATTCTGACACTTGCATGAAGTTGCTCCTAATATCCATTCTCTTGGCATAATTCATGCAAATCACATGCAGGGTTAAAGGCTGAGTAATTGACATGATCTAATTGCTGCAAAATAATAATAATAACAGCCTCCTTAATAGTTTATTTTTGTTACATCTGGACCTAGGAAATCTCCAGAAGGCAAAAAAAAAATCTCAGCCAGGGAACCTAGAAAACCAGGAAGGGGATGGAATTTTTTCACTCTGAACATGAAGAAATCAGGCACAGCACGTTGGGTGACAGTTCCTATGGAAACCTTTTGGAACTGCACAGCAGAACATTTGAAAGCCTCATCATTTTTTTGGGAATGTTTCTCTTGTGTTACCTCCTTTAGACCAGTTTTCCACCTTGAACAAGTTTTGTTTTCCCACGTGTAACAAGTTTTTAAGGACAAAATATTGTTTGGGGGGAAATTCCAGGCTCTGCTGGCAGGGAGAAATCATGGATGGGTTTATCTTCTCCAAACAAATTGCTGGTCCCATGCCTGCTCCCTCCTGCTCCATCCCAGCTCCTCAGTTAATTACAACAAATTTCCTCCAGGTTTTTAATTAGCCAGACCCAAGGAGCAGTAATAGAGATGTATGGATTTACCCTATGGAATGCATTGTGATTTCCCTATTTTTTGGTGGTAAATGATTTTGCAATTCCCTGTGAATTCTCAGTTTCCAGTTCCTAGAAAATTGGTGCTTTTAGGGAATCTGAGACTGAATTTTTTGGAATTCCCATGTGCAGCACATTCATGGGCTGGCCAATAAAAACACTCCTGGTAGGAATGTGGGGCTGGACCTGCTTTTGCCAGGAATCCAAGGAACATTTGGATGTTTTTTTAATACTAAAATTGCCAAAATGCACGTGGTGCCAATAACTAATAACTAAATTTGAAGCTGAATGAGGAAAAGTAAAGCCTGTGTGGGAAGAATGGTGATTTTAAGCAGGGAGGGCACCGATTCAGGACAAAGTGCTGCTCTGAATATCTGGGCCATTTATTGAGGAGAATTGTATTTGTTTGATCTCACTTTCCTTTGTTCTCAGTTATTATTCAAGAACTTGGCTTTGCTTTGTGGTGTTTGTTTTAAGATTTATTCTTTTTTTATTTATTTTATTTTGTTTTTGCTGCCTTTAAACACAACCCCACAGCTCTGCCAACGATGCATGGAGCAACAAAGGTTTGAAATTCTGCAGAGAGAGACCACAGGTCTCAAAATAGCCCCTGACAGCAGAGCCCAGTCATGATTTCCTTGCTGGAGTTACTTTGTAAGTCACAGCTCTGGACTCTCCCTGAGTTAAAAGAGTGGAAGCAAGGAGAAGCTGCTCTCTACCAGGCTGATCCTGAGATAATCCATCATTCCCAAACTCGGGAGCAGCAAATTCACGGCCAGCAGGTTCCGCTTCAAATGTTTAGCAAAGAGTTTTTGTGCCAGGATGGAAGAGCAGGAGTAAAGAAACATCCCAAGTTTGGGCATGTCATGGAATGGCGCACTGAGAATGCCAAAAGTATTGGAATTTGTAGGGAAAAAAGGATGAAGGAACTCCTTTTGGCACCTCTGGTGTATTTTGGATGCAGTTTGTGTCGTGAGGTGATGTGGGTGATCATCACCAAACTAATTATTGGTGTTGAAAATGAGATTTGCATCTTTCAGATTGAAAATCTCAGTGTCTTAATGAAACAGGAGCAGCTGGAGCAGGGACAAAAGGGAATGGCATTGTTTGTGTTGTTGACCTGAAGTGGTGATGGGAATCCATTATTTTTATTTATTTTATTTATTTTTATGGAATAAGCAGCAGCTGATGGGTTCCACGCCCCCCTGCAGGAAATATTTAATTGTTTAATTTCTCATTAAGCCATCGCTTACCTAAAGAGCTCATGGATACATTCCCAGTACCTCAAATCCCTGGGAATATCAGGTGGGTCTTGTATCCAGCAGATGTTCTCAGTCTTGGCTTTCACAGATAAGAATTTGTTTGTACTTTTGGATGTAGAATCGCAGAAAATCCCAGAATCCTGGACTGTTTTGGGTTGGGAGGGACCTTAAATCCCATTTCATTCCACCCTGCCATGGGCAGGAACATCTCCTGCCAGCCCAGCCTGGACAATGATGCCAGACTGCACCTGTAGTTCCAAAAGAACGCTTGGAATTGCAATTCTAATTCACACTCATTCCATAAAAATTATAATATATAGATGACTGGTATGACTTCAAAGCAGCAGAAGCAGAGGGAAATTATCTTTTTAGGAGAGCTGCAAATGCAACTGCTGGGGTTGGGTACATGACTCTTAATTAGCAAGGAATTTAATGAACTAAATTTAATCATTACAAAGTGGTTTATCAGTGTGACGGCATCAGGGCAGCAGCACAACTGAAGCTGTAGACATGTAAATATTTCATGGAAAACTGTAATCAACAGGAGGAAATTCCTTAAGGAAATACTTGCATGCCTTGGCTCAGCATCCTCTTCCTCCTGGAACAGCTCTTTTTTTGGGAGGCTGATATCACCTGGACATGAGCACTGGGGGGAAAAGATAAATACTTTGACCTACAAAATACAATATTTTAAATATCTATCTCTAACCAAGAAAAAACAACTTATATTTCTCTGATATTTTATATATTCTTGGAATATATTCCTATTTTCTAGAGTTTCTCTGGTGCTATTAACTGCAGGAATTTTGTTTGTGCCATTAATATCAAACTATTCATTTCTGAATTCTTTCAGCAATGGACTTTAAATTTGAATGACTCAGATCCAGGGATACCTGCAGCCCATCAAAAAAAGACCAGAAAAAGGCAATTTTTGAGGAGGTAATCACTGTAGGTAGAATTAATGAGCATTGGTTCCAGGTGAAGCAGTGTCCACCTTCAAACTGGAAAATTAATGGTAAAATTAATTACTCTGCTTGAATTCCTTCATTAGCATCACTAAATTTTATGATGTTTGAGCAGATCCATAATTTCTGCTGTAACAGCTTGATCTGGTGATAATTTTTGAGGAGATACTACATTTTTCAGTCTTCCTAGGAGAAAAGCATTCCTTTTTCATGATCCCAGAATTATTTACATCCCATAATTGATGAACCCTTCACACCTCTCATTTCCAATTATTTTATTTATTAAAAATAATGCAAATATTGAAAAAGGAGGAGCATTACCTGTCTGAGAAAAAAATAGGGAAAGGGAGCCCTTGAACAGAAACTTGTCAGCTGTCAGTTTTGAAATAATAAACCAAAACTCCCTTTGATTACTGGAGTTTTAAAATTCATTTTAGAAGTAATGAAAGGCCGAGATACTTTGCGTTCTTTACTTGTTTTGGTTTGGACTAAAGCAATATCTAAAATAATTTATTTAGTGGAGTTTTTTAATCTGTAACTGATAATTAAAGTGGCACCTTGAACCTGGTCAAGAATTATCCATCAGAATTAGATTTTCTTGATAAGAATAGTTACATACACCAAATTTAACTCCAAGAGTTCTTCCAGTTTCCTTTTTGAGACTCTTTATGTTTCAGGTCTGGATTCTTTATTGTCTGTTATTTGTGGTTGGTCTCGTGTCTAAAAATGGCTACAAATATTTAAATTATTCTTCACTCATTTATAGCAATGCTGACAACATTAAGAGCTAAATTTACTGTGTTGTAAATGACATTGCAAGGAACTATGCTAGAGGAAAAATGGATTTTCCAAGAGAACAACCTATTTTATTTTTTTAAAGTATGTGCTGACTGAGTGAAATGTTTTCATGGACAGAGACTTCATGGAAGGGGAAATTTATTTTATAGAGATTCCGTGAAATATTGTCCTTCTGTTGTGATGTTGGACTCCTTTTTATGGCAGGTCATAGCCCTGTGCCTGTCCCCCGTGTCACCAGAACAGCATCCAGGTGCTGTTTTCCCCATTTTCATGGATTTTAATTAGTTTGCCACATTCCTGCTGAGGAATAAAAATGGGACAAGACCACTCTGGGCCATTTTACCTGCTGATCTCCAGAGGAGTTCTTGGCTTCACTTGGGATTATAGGATGATCTCAGAGGTCTTTTCCAGCCTAATGGATTCTGTGGGATCTGCTTTATTTTGTTGCTGTTTTGTATTTCAGTCTCTCCAGGTGGATCTGGATCCCAGGAAGGTGGCACTGATGGGGATCTGGGGAATGATTCCTGCTGGGTGAGGGACAGTGCCCTGGTCTTGGCTTCCATCAGCATGGATCCTGGGGCAATCCCCCTCACAAGAGAACCCAAACTCTTCTCCAGAGCACTCAAATCCTTCCCAAAAATCTGTCTGGAGATGCATTTCTGTGGGGATGAAGTGAGGAGAAGGGCCTGAGGATGCTGGTGGACAAAGAGCTGTCCCCAAGCCAGCAGAGTCCTGGGGGACAAGAGGCCAGTGGGATCTTCGGGCACAGCATTCCCAGCCGCTCAGGGAGGGATCCTGCCCCTGTGCCTAGCCCCGGAGGCACCTCTGGAGTGTGTGTCCAGCTCTGGATCCTCAGCACAGCAGGGACAGGAGCTCCTGAGCTGAGGAAGGGCCTGGAGCATCTCCGTGCCCAGGAGAGGCTGAGGGAGCTGGGGCTGCTCAGCCTGGAGAGGAGCCCCAGCTGAGAGGGGCCCTCAGCCCTGGCTGTCCCTCTGTCCCTCTGTCCCTGGGTGTCCCTGGCTGTCCCTGGGTGCAGGAGGAGCAGAGCAGGGCCCAGGCTCTGCTCCGGGGCCCAGCAATGACACCAGAGGAACGGGATTGATCTCAGCAATTCCCCCTGTACAGGAAGCAGAACTTCTTCACTGTACGGGTGATAGATTGTCCAGAAGGGCTCTGGAGTCTCCTCACTGGGGATATTCCAGACCCGTCTGGACACAATCCTGTGCCATGTGCTCTGGGATGTCCCTGCCTGAGCAGGGCGCTTGGACCCGTTCTGTGAAATTGCCGCTGCGTTCCCGTTCATCCCGCACACCCCCTGGAGCTCCGTTACGGGCAGCGCCGAGCCCGCCCCGAGCCTGCTCCGCTTCCCCGTGTCCCTGCGGGGCTCCGCGGGCCTGCTGCGGTGAGGGGCCGTGAGGGGCCGGGCCCCGGGCTCCCTCAGGCTCCCCCCGGGCGGGGCAGGGCGGGCGCGGCCCCAGCGCCGCGCTCCCCCCGCGCTTCCCGGCGCGCTGCAAGATGGCGGCGGGAGCCGAGCGCGGCGCGGCGGTGCCGGCGGAGCCGCCGCCGCTGAGCGCCGAGGAGGTGGCGAGGCGGCTGGCGAGCACCCGCCGCGAGCTGGGCAACCGCCGCAAGATCCTGCTGCGGAACCTGCCGGCCGAGAGCAGCAGCCAGGTACGGCCGCCAGCGCTGCCCGCCGCCGCCCGGCGGCGTGGCGCGCTCCCGCCCGCGCCTCAGGCGGGGGCCGGCAGCGGGGAGGGAGGCGCGGGGCAGCCCCGGGTCCCCCGGGGGGTTCGGCGGTCGCGGGGCGCTGCCTTCCCCCGGCGCTGCCCCGCTCGGTGCCGGCCTTGGGGGGCGGCTTTGTTACCTGCGGAGAGCGGTTCCGGCTCGCCCGTCTGCGCCCTCAGCGGCCGCCACGGCGGGATGGCCGGGCACCACTTCCCGGGGAACGCCGGGGTCGCGGCCCGGGGCGTGAGGGAGCGAGGCGGGTCTCGGTCTGGGGTGAGCGGGTAACGGGAGCACCGGCGGAGAGGCGGCACCTGTGTGCCTACAGGTAAGGCACTGCAGCACGGCCGCTTTCGGTGAGAAATGTGGGCGAAAAAGCTTCCAGACTGGCTTTTTTTTTTTTTTTTTCTTCCTTTTTTTTTTTTCTTTTTTTTAATTTTTTTTTTTTATTGTGAGGTGAGCCAGACGTTGAGAGGGAAAGCGGTTTTCCGCAGTCTGACGGTGGTTTAGGAAAATTCTGCTCGAATTGCTGCTGTTGGTAGGAGATGATCGCTGAACTCTTCAACCGAGTAGTGCTGTGAGTCAGATGCTGAGGTGATTTAGCTGCACAGTCACTTCACCAGCTCCAAACACACAACTTGATGCACGAGGATGAAAAAAACAAAACAGAAACTGCGGCTTTTGTTCTGCTCTGCTCCTCGTCTGCCTCCCCCTCTCTCAAGCACAGGTGGTTTCACTACCTGCGGGTAAGAGCAGCACGTGCAGACTCTCAATTTCTGCATAACTCCGGCAGAAAAAGGGGACTATTCATTTTGGAGAGGCTCTGTGAGCTCTCGCAGTAATCCGAGCCGCGGCACCCAGCTGGCTGCTGCACTTCTGGCTGTTTTGTTCTGGCGTCCGCCGTGCCTCTCGGTGTGTCTGGCCCTGCTCTAGCACGTTAAAAGTTTCGAGATGACAGCTTTGTTAGGCTGCTTTTTAGGCACCTCTGTTTATAGCAGCCTGGTGAGCTGATCAATAGCAAACTCACAGCTTGGTGAGGGCTGCTAATCTTCATGAAGTGGCAGTGTTGACAGAGAGGGCTTTGCTGGTGTGTCACCAGATGCTCGCTGTGGATGGCCAGGACAGGAGCACTCTCTGACACTCCAGTTGTGTCCCACTGCAGGTCTTTTATCAGTTCCCATGTGGGAATTTACCTCCATGGAGACTTTCAGGTTTGGCGTTGCTTGCTCACCCAGAGTGTGCTACAGGGAGATGCCAACATTAAGGTCAAGTCTGGCAGCCACGGAGTTTTCTGGAAGTTTGGCTTTCTATTTTGATGGCTTAAAAACAGCACTTAGATGCCTTTTTCTCCTATATGTTGGGTTCTAATGTTGCCCTGAGCACCATGTACAGATCCTAAAATGCGCTTTACAGACTGTTATTTTAATTTTTAATATTGATGAGCTACTGGTGGTGGTAACAAAGGCAAAAGAATTGTGCTGCAGAGAGGAAGTTTCTGTCCTGGAGCAGTTTTGGACAGAAGTATGTTTGTGGCCAGGCATGTGGAGTTTACCTGTGTATTTGGCTGTCGTATACTTCCAAAATTACTATGAAATTTAACGTTTCTTCTTGCCAGTTAACAATACCCATGGTAAACACAGGTTTGTCTTCTGTTTTCTCCTTGAAGTAATTGGTGAGCCAAGTAAAATCAGATAAACTGTTTCTGACCTGGCCAGTCTTATTCACTGTCATGAGGGAGATGAACATCCCTGAAATGCAGCCAAGTCTCCCAGAATAGGTTTTCATAAATGTAACTATTCATCTCTGAGCGTTGGGGTGTTGGCTTTGCTGCCATTTGTTGTTAAGTGAAGAGTGAGGCCAAGATTTACCAAAATAGTTTTGAAGTGAAAAATTACTGTTCTGCTGATAGAGAGATTGGTGGAGATACTCAGCTTTGTCAGAAAAGTAGGAAAAAACTTCATTTTTTTAATATGAAGTTACATAACGAATATAATTCCTCTGCCAGTTGTAGCTACATATTAACTTTATTATTGTACTTGTAATCTTCAATTACCTCTGGAGCCCCACCTGTGTTAAACTAAATTAAAAACATAAATTACTCTTGAGGCCACAGAAGAAATGTCCCTTGGCCATGAGGTTTCTGAAGCAGAAGCAGGTTTGCAGTCTTAGAAACCAAACAGAGCTCAACCTACAAATAGATGCCTTCAGGATCAGTGTTTCTTCAGGCAGTTCTCTCACTGCAGCCATGGAGAAAGGATTTTTTTTTTGTGGCAGATCCACGGTAAACAGTTGACGTCTTCACTGTTTGTGACGACAGAGTCTCCATTTGCTGTTCAGTTGGCAAGTGGGTCGATGTTGAACTCTAGAGTTGCCAGGTGGTTCCCCAAATTCATCCTCATGGGATTCCTCTAGCACAATATCAAATGTGTGGTGTGATAATGACCTAGAAATGACTACAGGCTGTTGCTGACCTCTGTAAATCATCAGATCTTTGATTTCTGTAGCGGTGACGGTGCCTTAAAGGCAGAATTCAGTAGTGAGGCTGGAGCAGCATCACGAGAGGCTTCCCTGTTTCTCCCTGGAGCTTCACTGGGATGAGCTTGGAGCAGTGATCCACTCTGCTCCAATTCCAGTTCTGCTTGCCAGAGTGGGAAAGTGTCCTGGGCTAGAGCAGTCATTCTATGGCTTCCTGAGGGCAGGGCAGAGATGTGGGATGTTCTGCAGTAAGATGGTCCCCTTGGTGGGAGTCCTGTTGATGAACAGCAGCTAGTGAGTCTGTTCTCGTTAGCAGTAATAGCCTTTGATGTGGTGGTGTGGTCACACTGATGTTTGCAGGAGGAGTCTTTGCCAAGAGACTTAAAAGTGAGCCTGCTTGTAGTGATTGATTCCTTTTATCATGATCAGTGCTTGGCAGTGGGTCAGGGATCTCTTGGATTGCCTTGTTGTGTGTGCATCTCCCTGAGCCACCATCCCTGATCCACCATCCCTGAGCCACCATCCCTGATCCAACATCCATTCCAGCAGCAAGGGACATGGTCCTGTGGGATGTTGTAAGAACAAAAATTGCAACCAGAAGGTCCTTGAAACAATCTCAAAACTGTTCCCAGTGGAGGAGGAACTGAGCAGAGGGAGGGAAGGAAATACCACCTTTCTCTCTCCTTTTCTGCTAAACAGATGCCAAGAACTTCAGGATGAGCAGAATGGAAGTGAAGTTGTACCTCACTAAACAGGAGGTTTTATTTTGAGTTTGCATTGGTTTTACCCCAGCCAGCAAATAAACACCACACAGCCATTTTTTCACTTCTTCACTGCTCTGGTGTTGAAGAGAATCCCAAGTAAAACTTGGGAGTTAAGAACAGTTTAATTATTGAAGCAAAACAAAGCATATCTAAAATTAATATAATACTAATATTAATTGTATTCAGAAGGAGTTAAAGCCAAGAGAAACAAGTGGTTCCCAGTAGAGTTGCTCAGCAGCCACTGACTGATAAACTGCTCCCAGTTTATGTAGTGGGCATGACATTCTGTGGTGTGGAGCATCCCTTAGGCTGTCCTGGCTCTGCTCCTCCTGGCATTCCATGCACCTGTGCATGGCAGCTGCAAAGTCCTTGGCTCAGAGGAGTCTCGGCAACAACTGAAACATCCCCGTGTTAGCAACATTATTCTCATCCTAAAGTCAAAACACAGCACTGAACCAGGAAGAACAAAATTTGTTCTGTCCCATGCCAAACCAGGAAAATGGTTTTTACCATTTACAGTTTTTCTCTAAGTACCCCATTGGATTAGAAGAATTGATTTTAGTTTTCCCCAATTTGTTTTGTTTTTTTCACTGTGAGTGGCTCCTTATTTATGGCTGAGGAACTTCCCTAGGGGCAGTGGCTCATCACCATCAGCAGACTGATATGGGATACCAGTTCCTGTCCCATGGATTTCCTGCTGGGAAGATTAGACCTGGGGTTATTTATCTTTTTTTGCTCATCATTACTGAGATTTGTAGCCAGATCTCCAGTGTTCTGTGCCAAGATCAGCTGCCCAGTAAGAGCTGTTGGCTCTTTGCAGATAGAAGATTCTGTGGAAGATACACTTTCTCCCAACCATTTTTGGATGGATTATCCCTGAATGCCACAGTGTCACAGTTCTACAAAATAAACCTGGTGGAGGGGACGCTTTACTTTAATGTAGGACATGCATCAAAGTAGGGCTGGTTAATTATTTTAACACCCCGTGGTTCTCCTGGGGTGGGACAGAATCCAGACAATGAAACACTGAGCTGTTGATACAAACCTGGTACAGTCCACCTGGGATAAGGAATTATTTGGTATTTTGGAACCTGATGGACCCATTCAGTTTTTTTTCCTCTGCTGTCTGTTCCTGATCAAAAGCCAAATCACTCCTTAGCATGGTGCTGTTTCTGGTGGGGCTGTGGCATTTTTTTTTCCCTTTCTCCCTGGATTAGCCATAATTTTTCCTTGTTTGATGGAAAGCCTCTAATGAGGTGTGATGATTTGAGGAAGTGCTCTCTCCAAGCTGTTGGATGCCAGACCTTTAAGTAGAAGGGCCTTTGTGTTTTCATGACTCCTCTGTCACACTGCCTGAACATGAAAGGCACATTGTGGACAGGGAACAGCTCTCATGCCTTTAAGATGGACATTTTAAAATTTTCTTTATTACTTTTCTTTTGCTTTGAGCTCTTGCTCTCTCAAATTACCTCTTTCTATGTCTTCTCCCTCTTTAATTCAGCTCTCACACTACCCAGTATACCCAGGATGATGGAATTAATTTCCAGTCCCATAAAGGTCCTCTTACTAACACTCCCAAAAGTCTCTGGAAGATCAGAGGAAATTCATTCCACGGAGAAATTGTTGTTTTCCTGTCTTCACATTTTCTTACATTACTTCACTAAAGATCTTTGAGAGCTCTGATCTTACACAAGTGAGAATCAATTCCCAAACACAAAGGTTTGCCCTAAAAGGAGTTTTTGGCCTGAAGTGACAGGCTTGAATCCATTTCAGATTTCCTAGTTTGGGGCTGTGGAAATGAAGAGGGAATGAGCTGAGCAGGAGCTTTGGGAAACACCTCAGTGCTCGCTGTTCTGGGCAGGTCAACATCTGCCACATCTCACACCTGATCCTCCAGCTCTGCTCCTCTGAGAACTTTAACTTGGAAACTGGGAAGGAGGAGGTGTGGTGAGCCCAGTCTGCCCAAAATGTTACTTCTTTGGGACATTTATCCAGCAATTAATGAAATTTTGAGGCCCTCCTACATCTGATTAGAAGATGGTTAAAATTGCACTTGGCATCAGTCCTTTTGTATTTTTATTAACCCTCTTGTTGGTGCTGAGTGTTGCACTTGCTCTTCAACAGAGCTCTGGGTTTTCCCCTTAATAACATATTATTTAAACTGTGTCAATGTTCTCTTGTTTACTACTTATTGTTTGTTTAATATCTGCAGTGACATCCATGTGTCATGTCATGAACTCAAATAATTCAGCAGTCAAAAATCGGAATCAAATGAACACCCCATTATACAATTTTGTAAATGTAAAGCTTTTTTTTTTTTCCTGAGACGTTCTCTTTTTCCTGTCCTGCCTGCACAAATGGAACAAAGCCTTTTTCAGCTGTGAGATGATTTAAAACTTCTTCGTTAGCCAAGTAACTACTTTAAACTTAATTGATTCACATTTCAAGAATATTCATGTGAAGTTCAGGCCTTCAGCTGCTCTATGAGAGCCGAGTTATAGACCAGGCTTGGAGAATGTTTATATTGGAGACTTCCCTAAAGCTCACTGCAGAAATCTGGCCAGGCACCCTTAGAATTGTTAAATATCTGCTGCCAGAATAGCACAATTATTACATTTAATATCAAATCTAGTTTTACATCTAGAGAGAGAGCAGTGCTTGGGTTTGGTGTGCTGTAGGTTTTATATACATTATTATATATATTTTATGTATTCCAGGTGAGTAATGAGAACTTCTTGGATGTTTTCTTCCTTGCACTGTGGGAGTCAGGGTAGGAAAAGCTGCTTTTATCAGAAATCAACCACTGAGCTTTACTAATTTGATAAATGTGCCTGTGAATGAGTTCCTTTCTCATTTGTGTTTAAAACAATGCAGGTACTAAACACAAAGATCCTCTCTAAAGAATTCTTTCTGTCTCAGAGGTACAAGTCTCAAATTGATAATAAATGCTGAAAACTCAGTTTGCCAGTTTTTCTACTCAAGAGAAGACAGAGCAAGAACTGAAGTATTTCAAGACCATATTTACAGTAGTAAATAATACACTTTTTTAAAGGTTAAAGAGTGATTTATCTTAAGCTCCCCCTATTATATTTGACTTTGCTTTTTCTACTAATTTTCATGTATGACCGATTATTTACTAGTTAAAATTTTAATTTGTACTGGTGCTGAGATAATCTGCTTTTAAAGCTTTAAAGGGCTGTAGGGTAGCTACACTTTATTGGTTGTATTTCTGTTCCAGGAGCACAAAATCCTGGAATAATTTGGGTTGGAAGGGACCAGACAGAACTACTTAATATTTTTATTGTCAAAATCCACTTTATCCAGTGCGTGACACTCGAGCCTTCAGCGTGTTGGTAAATATTGCTGTTGTTTATAGGATGTTTAATAGGATGTAGTGAAGATTACTATGGGAGTTTTCAGTCAGTTTTTGTAGATTAACAGATTAATTGATTTATTAAAGAGGAAAAAGCCCTTTAGGAGGAGCAGTTTTGTCACTGGCACGTTCAGGTTGTTGGAGCGTGGAGAAGGCAGTGGCACAGGGGCTGGCAGCCACTACTCAGGTGTGGTACCGCTCCGAGTTTACTCCTGCTTTACTACAGCTCGGAGTTGAGGGCAGTGCTCGGGGTTTGCTCCGGGCTGGGGGTGCAGGAGCTCCCCGGGGCGGGGCCGGCGCTGTTTGTTTCCGCTGTTCTCAGGGAAACATCCCTCTGCTTACATTCCTCACGAGTTAACAGCAGAGGATCTACCTGACTCGGCTGACCCCCTTCTCCTCCAGAGCAAGCATTCCCTCCTGGCCCTGTCCTGGAGAGCTGCTTGGAGCACGGGGAGCAGAGCTGAGTCCTTGCCCTGAGCTGTGGGGAGCAAAGCTGGGGACATCACGATGGGAGCACTGTTCCTTCTTTCCAAGGAGATCCGAGTGCTGGGAGATGTTGGAGGTGAAGTTTAGAGAAATGCCTGGCTTAGCAAATCTCAGTGTAACACACAGATATTTACAGCTGTTTGGTTGAAAGGAGTACACATTTTCCTAGAGTTGGCAGGGTGTGTTTTATCTTTGTAAATCCTCACCAGCGGTGCTATGTGAGAAATGGTTTCACAGAAACTCAGCACAACCCCAGTTCCACAGGTGAAGGTCTCAGCCCTGCCAAGAGCCCATGAGAGCACAAGAACCAGAACCTTCCTGGAAGAACCCTTTGCACAAACCTGGCAGTGTTTGCAGCCACCTGTGGAAATTGGTGTTCAAATCTTTACCAAATTTCTCTGCTTAAATCAGGCTTCGTTGTAAATCTCCCTTATAGTCTCATCATTTTTTATATGAGATCTCATAATTATCTCCCAAAGAGGTGTTCAGCAGGGGCTGTTTTTCCTCTCAAAGTTTCAGGCAGTTACTGGGAAATCATGTGGAATCATCTGATACACAGATGACTTTCAAAAGAGTGTTCAGAGCTGTTTGAAATCCTATTTCCTGCTACCTAATCATCATATAAAACTTTCAGTGTTGCTCTTGTAAAATAATACCGGGAATCAAAAGGGCAAACATGTCCCTCTTCTTCTGAGAGGGACAGAAACCACTTTTTGGAGTCTTCAGTGGCCCAGCACAACTGAGCTGCCAAAACTGTACAGAAAATGTCTTTTCAGTCTCTCATGTCTGAGAAAGAGCCACCTAATTCTTGTTTGAAAGATGCCCACACTCAAATCTCCTACCTGGCTTGAATTTTGGGGATATCTTGCATATCAGAAACCCCATCTTTATCACACCTTATTCGAGGATGGGTGATGGCTGGAGAAATGCTGCCATATTTTATTAATGCAGTATTTGACAGCTGTTAAATAGTGAAACTAGAGATTGGTGCTCTCTTGACTAAAAGGTGTGCACCTGATACCCCTCACAGAGAACCCAATTAACCTTTAGGCTTCATATATTGAATTTCCAAACTGGCAGCTACACTCAGCTTCTGCAAATCATCTGCAATTAAACTTTCAGAAGAAGCTGGTTGATTATTTTGCTTGCAGAAATCATCTTGCACTCTTGTATATGGGATTTATCCAGCTAAAATAATGTAAATATCCAGGTTATTTCTCCTGGTTTTCCCTTGGGGTGGTGAATGTTCATCTCTGCTTTCTCATCACTGAACTGACAACAATTTGTGGGGTTTTTGGAGCATGTGCACCTTGGTTTTTTGGGAATAGCTGTAGGAAACTCCTCTTAGACTTGCTCTTAACCACCCCTCGTCTCTTCCCATTAATTAGTGGGAGCAAACAGCACTCTTGGGATTGATTCTCTGTTGAGCAGCTGTACAGTAATTGATAGAGGATACTTTCCAGGGGGTACCTGGCCACAATTATCTGCTGGGTGAAAGAATATCCATTAGTAAGAGTGAAAATCTATTAAAGTGAACTTGAGCAGGAGACTAAAGCAACTGGTGGGTTTTGGGGCAGCATTGTGCCCTCGGTAAATTTGGTGATGTGATGCTGCCAGCGTTCCTTGTCTGTGTGGTATTTTAGCTATGCCAGTTGCACTTCAGAGAAATGGAGAGGGTTTTGCTATTTAATGAGCTGTGATGTTATTTGTTTTTATCAAAAGACAGTTACAGGACGCCCTTTTGTGTTTATGTGACCCCAGAGAATGAAAAGTAAATTAATCAAATTCAGCGAGCCAGTTTTATATGTGAGATAAAAACATTGCTGCAGCAGTGTAACCAACTCTTTAAAAACAAATATTTGATAGTGTTTCTATGGTGAAATTTTCTGTTTGTTGGGAAAGTTTTTGGGTTTTGTTTGAAATGAAGATGAATTTATCCACTTGCTTGGTTTGGTGACTTATTTATGTGATGTTGCTTGTACTTTTTCCCTTGCAGGAAATCCACGACTTGTTTAAAGATTATGAAATCAAGTATTGTTATGTGGACAGGAATAAAAGAACAGGTGAGAACTTAAAACTTTGACATATTTCAAATCTTTGAGGAACACTGTGCTGTGTATGAGGTCATGGACTGTCACAGCTTGTCTGGTGTCCCCCAGTGCCTTTTTTGTCACCTTCTTCTGAAGCCAGTGGAAACTGGAAACTTTCTGGTGTTGCTCAGAAGTTTTTTGGTGCCCTCTGGTCTCTCTCAGCGAGTGTCCCTCTGGGACAAAGCTGACCTCAGCTGGCTCAATTCCTTTGGAAAACTGGTCCTGAGGCCTCTCTTGGGATAAACCACACGTGCCTGAGAGGGAAACCTGCCCAGCTTTGGATGCATTCGTAGTTTGCTCACAAAAGGAAACACTTTTGCCCTATGAGGGTCACCCAGCACTGTTGGAGGTTGTGGAATCTCCATCCCTTCGGATCCTGGGAACCCATCTGGGTGACCCTGCTTGAGGAGCAGGTTGGACAAGAGGCCCTTAGGAGGTTCCTGCCACCCTCATCCTGTTTGGGATTGTGTGAAATGCTTTATGGACTGAAAACCCCCAAAAAAGATCTGTTAACCCCAAAGTGAGAACTTGTGGATGTTGTCATCAAAAAGATTCCGTAGAATCTGTGATGTGTTGACTTCAATGGAATATTTAATTTAGTAAATAATAGTCTGCTAACAGAATATTTAATTTTGTTCCCCAGATACAAAATCTGGTTGGGTTCCAAGCAGTGAAGCTGTGTGCATCACCACATAGTCACTTTTTGAGTTAATTGCTCATGATGTTCAATTGATAATCCCAGATTTTAGACACGATATATAATATACATAATAGATACATTTACCTACTGTGTCTCTGAGGCAAATCTGCAGCTCTCAGCTGTGGTTTCAGGGGGAGGGAGAGGTGTGGCTGCAGATCAGCTGGGGTAGGTGATGTCCCCACTCGTGCTCTCTTGCAGCATTTGTCACCCTGTTGAACGGGGAGCAGGCCCAGAGCGCCATCAGGAAATTCCACCAGCATTCCCTGCGTGGCAAGGAGATCTCCGTGCAGCTCCAGCCGACGGATGCTCTGCTGTGCATCACCAACCTGCCCCTTTCCCTCAGGATAGAGGAGTTTGAGGAGCTGGTGCGTGCCTATGGCAACGTGGAGAGGTGTTTTCTGGTCTACAGTGAGCTCACCGGCCATTCCAAGGGCTACGGATTCGTGGAATACATGAAGAAGGACTCTGCTGCCAAGGCCAGGCTGGAACTCCTGGGCAAGCAGCTGGAGGAGAGCACTCTGTTTGCACAGTGGATGGATGTGAACCAGCTGACCACAAACCTCATTCACTCCAAGTGCCTTTGTGTGGATAAATTACAAAAAGACTGCGCTGATTCGAAAGAGCTGATCCAGGCTTTCTCCCTCAAGTACAAACCTGTGTTCTGCCAGGTATGTTGGGTTTCTGTCTTAGGGAAAACCAAGGTTAGGACTGCAGTATTGCCTCACTTCGCTCTTGCTGTCTTCCGCTTCTATTTTTCCTATTTATTTTTACTTTCCTATCAGTTTTCCTATCAACTGTTGTGCATCTGCACAGTGATGGGAGTGGTGATGCTGAACTGCTCTGGGTGTGAAGTGCCTGATCTCTGTTGCCTGGGAATTCTGCAGGACACCACTCCAGTGAAACGCCAGCAAAATGTCCGGAAGACATCCCCTTATGTCATTTACTGAAAATAATTTGGTTTTTGAGAGCTTTGAAAGTAAACATTGCTGAAGGTTTTATTGCTCAAAGAAAGCCAGGGTGTATGAATAACCACAAGTGCAATGGTTCAGATGATGCAAAATACATCATATAATTAATATATTAATATTTAACGTTTTTTTCTCTAACTGAGGAAGATGCAGGCTTGGCTCCTTGGGTATTGCCAGGGATAGAAGTGACACATCTTTTGGAAAGCTGGGAAGCAGAGAAGAGGTGGATCCTCGCCTTGGTAGTTCAAATGTTTCCTTCTCATCCTTGTGAGAGGAGGCCACAAACAGATGTGGCACAGATAGATCATCATAAACAGGCAGTAGAAGGAAATCTTTCCTCATAGTCACTCAGATTCCAGTTACAGGGTTGTTTTTTGTTGTTTTTTTTCCCCTTAAGTCTCTGTGGAGGCTGCTCAGGGATCAGCCCCGGGGATGAGCGCTCAGAGATTCCCAGCATGCGGAGCAGGAGGTCCAGCAGGATCTGCAGCCTGACCACCTGCAGACCTTCACACCCTCCCTGGGGCTCTTTGCCAGCCCCAGCAATTTGTAGGTGGCCAGAGTAAATCCTTAGACTTGCTTGATCCAAATACACCAGGAGATGAATTGATTGGAATGAACTCTTCCCAGAAGATGCCCCTTCCTGGCTGTTTTGATCTCCAGCCTGGGAATGTGTCTGGCTTCAGCCTTACCTCACTGATGCCTCAATTAAGGAGCTTTTGCTCCCCATTATTTTCTTCCTGTAAGTAGGTATTAAATGCTGTACTCAAGTCTCCTGCTCAATCTTTGTTTAATTAGCTCAACAGATTGATCCTTTTAAATCTTTTCCTTCGGGGTTTTTTTTTTTCCAGCTGTCAAATAATCCGGGGGCTGTTATCCACTCCCCCAACAATTTTTCACCATCCTTGAAAAATTCTGAGCTTCAAAGAATAACAGACTTCTTGGGGAAAGGTGGGTTTCACTGACAGAGCTCTGCTGTGCAGTTAGAGGCACTCAGAAATTGACTTTTTACCTTTTAAAATGATGATAAATCTTGGGTCATACTTGGTGTGGGTGAGGAGAGTGTGTGCATTAGGTCATTAAATATTCCTGTTCCTATAAAATACAGGAGGGTGGAGGTAGGAAAACAAATAGTTCAGATTTGAAAAAGGGAAGAAAATGGGTGCTAATTAATTATGGGTTCGTGAGTGAGACTACCTGAAAATTGAGGACAAGGAAAGAAGGAGGAGGAAAACCCAAGAAAAGGCAGAAAAAGCAAAGAGGGGAGATGTGATGGGGTGGGTAGAGACAGAAAAACTGGGAGATGAGAGGGTAACAGAAAACTCAATGTGGGGGGAATTTCTATAGGGAATGATTGAGATAATTTTTTTTTTTCTGGAAAACTTGAATGTAGCTCTTGTGGTGCTGCCATGGCTTAGTTCTGCTGGGAGCTCATGCAGTATTTCATCAAGTAAACACAATCCTTTGCCCAAAATTCTTACCTGAGCTCATGAAATAAACTCTGGGTTATTTAATCTTATTCCAAAGTTACCATTTTTTTAAAAATAATTTTTATTTCTTCTCTGTAGACAACAGGAATGTTCTGTCAGGAGGAGCTGAAGCTAAACACTTACACATGGATATTAGGAAAAATGTGTTTTGTCCTTTGTTTCAACAAAATAGACCAGAAAACCTCATTCTTTTCTTCTATCAACTTCAAATTGTCACTAAAAGGTCTCCACCCTTATCTGGATAGGAATAAAGAGTTTTTTTCAGTACCTGTTTAGTTGGGAAGTTGAAAAATTCCTGAATCCTTTGCAAGAATATTTGGTGGCTGCACTTGGGACAAGTTAAGGCAATTTTTAACTGTGTTTCATTTTAGCTGAAACTAAAATACAGATGTTCCATAGCTTCAAACCCTTCTTTTCACAAATACCTCAGGTCTTTGCCAGTGCACCTAAACTGGTATCAAAATAAAATATAAATATAAAATATATTTGTATATGAAATATGTGCTCTCCAGAGCTCTGCCCAGAGGCCAGGCTGTAACAGTGCCATTAAAGATTTATCTGACAACCCTCTTTTTCTTCCAAATCTTTGACATTTATATTTCAGTTGTCAGGGGAAGGTTGTGGGGCTGAGGTTGTTTTTATCCAGTGCAATCTGGAGCAGGTTTTGTCTCTTCCACACCAGAGCTGGTATCAGTTTATCATTCCCATTCATTTAGGGACTGGAGATTTTTGCCTAAGCTTCATCGCTCCCTTCTCACCCTGTTCTTTTTTGTTTGATTTAAATCTGCTCATTCTCTCTCAAAGTCTGCACACAAAGGCCAGGGCAGCGTTTGTCACATAAGCCCTTTTCCAGTCTGCTTGATTGATCAGTCTGGCATCTTCTCTTGGCATTCCCCACAACCACAGCCTTCACATGCTCCCAAAAGGCACCAGATACTGGTGGAATTTGCATTGTTGCATGTTTCAGCAGCTGTCATGCACCCTGATGAACGACACTTTGATTATTGCAGGCTGGCAAAAAATGAAGAATAATGAGTTTATAATTATCCTGCAAAGTAAAACCGGTTGTAGCATCCAGCTGTATTTACAATTCCCTTCTCATTCCTCCTTTGTTGTTTAAATATGTGTTAAATGCGCGATGTTCTCCATGAGGTGAGATGGAAGTGAAGGTGGGAATGGAAGGGATCATGGAAAGATGGAGCAGATAACCACGAGGAGATAATCATGAGTCTGTAATGGTGGATGCCAAATAGATGAAGATGTGGCATTCAACTTAATTCCATTATAATAAAAAAATACGATTTTGAGAAAGAAACCTCCTGGTTTGGGGGGAAACGTTATCCTTGGGTGGTGTCAGCAAGAGACCTTGCAAGGGGCAGGTGACAATATTGCAGGGCAGCTGCTGGAATTCCCAGTTTTCCTTGGAGAGCTGGGAACCGTTGTTGTTGTTGCAGTTTGCCCAGGACGAGGACGGCGGCAGCGGGGACTTTGCCGTGGTGGAGTATGAGAGCGCGGAGCAAGCGGAGAGCGTGAGAGGGGCCATGGACGGGATGACCATCAACGGCAGGAGGGTCCAGGTGTCCTTCTGTGCCCCTGGAGCACCGGGCAGGAGCACCTTGGCAGCTCTGATAGCAGCACAGAGGATGGTGAGATCCCTGGAAACCTCTTTGGGATGAGCTCGTCGCGCCTGAGCCGGGGCTTTGCGCAGCGAGGAAAAGGAGCTGGGCTTGGGAAGCTTTGGGGTTTATCAAAGCCACGTTGGACAGGGCTTGGAGCAACCTGGGATAGTGGAACATTCCCTGCCCATGGTAAAGGGTGGAGCTGGATGGGCTTTAACCAACCCAAACCATTCTGGAATTCTGTAGAATCAGCCCAGTTCAGGCTCCTTGCTAGGCAAAGATGGCCAGGAAGAAGATAAAATATATCCATAAAATACCACAAAGTTACACCCACATAGCTCTGGGATTTCAGTAAATGTAATCTCCTGTAACAGAAATCATTTCAGCTCAAAACAAAAGTGACTGGGAATGAGTCATGGGACGAGCTAAAACTTGGTTTAAAACAGAGGCAAGAATTTGTCAGCTTTAAGATGAATTTCAAGGCAGGAGAAATAGGTTCATTTCATGCTCGAGGTAGAAGAAAGCTTTTTACACCCACATGTCTTATCAAATTATTTCCTAGAAAATTGGATGTGATCAGTGTTACGTGGAAAGGCAGAAGAGTTCCCTCTCTTCAGCCAGCTCAGACCACATCTCTATAAAAGAGATGAGAAGTCTGTTACAAGATCTAGTGCTCATGGCAACGTTTCTTATTCTCCTGTACTGATAACGCTGGGTTTAAAGGAAAAAAAGAAATGTGCTTGAAATTGTGTCGGAATCATTTGTTAGGTGTTTAATTTGAGGGGAAAAATGCAAAGATCAGGGAAGGAAATGATATTTTTTTTGTGTCAGATGAAATGTGTACATTGCCATTGGAGCTTGAGGGATTTTAAATGTATTCATTGTTTTCTCCTGTTTCTAACACTTTTTATCTCTTCACTGGAGATGAGGAACAACAGGAAGGGCTTGCTTCCAGAGCCAAATCCAGTGCAGATCATGAAAAGTTTTAACAATCCAGCAATGCTGCAGATGCTGCTGCAGCCCCAGCTGCGTGGCCACGCTGTTAAACCTGGTAAGCTGCTGTAAAATAATGCAAAATTAAACCCTGTTCTTAGTGCTGCAAAGCTTTTGCAAAGTAATTAAGTGGAAATAACGTGTAAAATCTGTGCAGACACTGTTTCAGTGTGTTTGTGCAGATAATTTCACATTTTATGGAAGCAAAAGGAGGAGGTGCTTTGCTACACTTGTGTGTTTGGGTAAAATTCAGTGTTCCTACAAATATCCTTGTGTTAACTCTGTGGGCTCTGAATATTCATATTAGAAATGGGTTTAGAAAAAAATGTCTTTTGTAAGACTTTGCTAAACTTAAATCTGATCCTAGATCTGAATTTTGCAACCTGAGTCTTTCTCCTCTTGCCAGTGTAAAACTTTATTCTTTTGGCTGCTGCCACAGCCATGCAGAATATTTATTAGAGCATCAGCCAGAAACATTTCTGTGTTCCAATTAGGATGTGAATAAACATAAACCCTAATTAATCACATTTCAAATGCCAAAAGTGCTCAGAAGGATGAGGAGATCAAGTGGGAGAGAGCTGAGAGTGTGGTGACAAAGAAACCCCGAAATGGGGTGTGAAGTGACCACTTCAGGGCAGAAACACTTGAGCTAAATCTGAATTTAAAACACTTCAGATAAAGCTGAGGGCTGGAATCACTTCAGGAGTGAAACCTTCAGGTGTGGAGGAACACCTGGAGGGGGCCTTTGAGCTCTCACATCCTGATAATTGCACATCAAAAGGTTTCTGTAGCCTCTCCCAACCTCAGCGAGTCTGTCCTTCCTTTGTAGTGACCTTTGTACACTTGAAAATTTCCTGGAAAGCAAATTTTAAAATACAGGATAATTCTAAAGATTTTTTACTTGTCCAGTTTGTAAAATATACAATTTTTTTTTGTGTGTGTGTGTGTTTCTGAAACAGTTCTTGGAGCATCTGCAGGTTTACCTCACCTCATAAATTCAGCAGTTGGGCCACCTTTTTTGCAGTTGAATAAAGTTCATCAGGTAGGTGACCAAAAAAACTCATCAACAGAGGTGTTTGGGGAGATCTTAACATGAGAGATCCTAACATTTTAAGGAATTACAGCTAAAATCAACCTGTTAGAGCTCTCTAAGGAAAGTTACGAGATGGGGGAGTCCAAAATGGAGTTACTTCATCTAAATTTTTGACTTTAAACCTGCCAGTGTAGACAAAACTTGTCATTACTGGCAGAACAAAATGCTCTTTAAATGAGCTCTCGAGGAGCCTGGCACATCCCTTTCTCTTGGAGCAGCTCATCCACGCTCCTTTAGAGACTTCAGGGGTTTATCTGATTCAAACCAACAAGTTCAGCACCCTTAGCTTCATTTTCAAGCTTGCAGGGACCCAGATGTGCCATAAATTGTGATTTGCAGATGTTATTTCTTACTCATAAACCCCCTCAAGGTTCTCTTGTAATTCCAGATGGGCACCAGAATTCCTGAGAGATAATGGGAAGGATCTTTGGGATGAGTTTGTGCTAGAAAACCAGAATGAGAAAATGCACCCACAACCAGAATTTGAGCTGAGGTGCTCTCAGGGATTTCTCCAGCTTTGCCAGGAGCCAAAAATTGAATTTAATATTCGTGGTAGGGATTTACACAAATACCTACAAGGGACTGGAGTCAATCACTCAGCCTTATTATTTCTGATATTTCAGAAATTGCCATTTAAAAAACAAAATCCCCTTCAGCATCAATTATTTCTGCAATTCTTTTCGCAAACACAGGCTTAGAGATCTTAAAAAAGACCCAACTAAAATGCAGAAGTATTTGCAGAAAAAACAGCTTTTTTTCTTTAAAAACTGGTAGATGAATATATTAATTTTGAATAAATGCTGCTTAATTTTGCCCCATCCAGTGAGTTGCATTTGTCCATATAAAAAATTACATCATTCTTTGTGTTTTTTTTTAGAAAAAAGTTTAAATGATAATTTCATTTGGTTTGTTCCTGCTGCTCTCTCTTCAGCCTGTGCTTCCTTGGAAGGCAGTGTGAGTGGTGCTCACAGCTGGAGCCAGGGATGTTTTCCACAAGTAACAGTGGGATTGATGATGATCCAAAGGTTTTTCCAGTGGTTTTTGGCTTGGGAGAGCTGCAGCCAAACAACTTTGTGTTTTCTCTGTCCAGAGAATTAAAAGTCTCATTCTCTTCCTGGGAGCTTCCTGTCATTTAATGAGCTCCAAACCTGAATTTTAGAAGGATTTGATGATCCCAATATCTTCTATAAGGCAAATTTTGCCCTGTGATTTATTTTGGGGAATTCTCTAAAGCCAGAGAAGCAGGTCACTGTTTTATTTTTATTATCTTGAAATTCAGTGTTGTCACTGAAACACCTCCCCAGTCACGCTGATTTAGCTCCCTGCATGTCTTGGGTTTCTGTTTTATATTCATGGCTTTGTAAAGTAACAGAATGAGAATAAATGTTTTCAAAGAATTATTTAAAAAGGATTCCACAGAGAATATTTGAAGGCTATTTACTCAGTAATTTTTCAACTCGAGGTAGCCTGATTTGCAACTTGTTTCTCTTAATTTCTCTTAGTTATAAATTATCCTGTGCCAAAATAATGCATTTTCAGCTTTCTCAGGGATGCTTCCTTCAGTCATCCAGCAATTTTATTAAATCTTGATTAATCCAGAGCCTTTCCTGTGAGGATTCTGACCAAACTGATTTTTCCACTCTTTTATTTCTGAAAGTTTTGCAATTGAACCACTTTGCTTTGTTGCTGGAGCCAAGTTCAGAAGGAGCAGCCCCTGGCACTGGTGACAATAACCAGCCCTGCATAATTTCTCCTGGAAGTCACTGAGACAATTAAAATAGATGCATAACTAATCTAGATATGGCACATCTTTGTTTGGAAAAGCTCATTTCTGAGTCCAGAAGATCGTATTTTAGTCAAAAAGGGTTTTTCCCTAGGGAATTTAACCCTGCCACCCAAAGACACAGCCTAGGCTTGGAAATATCTGGGAAGTGTTTTGCAGTCTTCATTCCCTGGGTTTGGTGATAAAATATAATAAAAAAGCGTGTACTTGGTGTGATCACAGTGTCCTGTATATTTATTTTTGTACAACAACCTATAGAACAATCTATATTTTACTGGCAGGTGATGCTGCCAGACACTTCCCAGGCCTGCAGTATAAATCATGATGCCTTTTAAAGTTTATTTTAAGCCTCAGTGCTGGCCAGAGCTCATAATATTGAATATACCAGTGGCAGAGTCTGAAGAGGGTGCCCCAAAGTTATTAATTCAGTGGCTCAGTTCTGGTGGCAAACTGATCCAGAATATTTTGAATGAACAATGTGAATATTTTATAGACTTGCCAGTCTGCAGGCACTGGGATTTGTCAGGTTTTAATGGCTCTGGAGTAGGATTTCATGTAGATTGTTGTGGGGGGGAAACATATCTGGATATTCCTCTGAAGCAAAATGAGTCTGTGGAGGAAATTATTATTTTCCTTTGCTGTCTTAAGTAAAAACATGAAATTTCTTCAAGCAGCACTGTGTGTAAATGTTTATGTCCTGCTGTTCTCCCTGGCTGCCAACTAACCCTTGTTTTCATTTTAATCCTTTCTCAGAGCTCAATTCTGGGGAACACCTCCAGCCTGCTGCTGCAGAGCCCTGCCCACCTGCCCCTGCCCCAGCAGCAGCTCCTGAAGATGGAAAACATGCAGGCAAACAGTGTAAGGCTATCCCTGCACCTCTGCCTCTCTCTGAACACTCCTAGAATTCCTAAAAGAAACCATTTTTATCATCAGGTGCCCATGATCTTTATGTTCCCTTCCAACCCAACCCATTCGTGGTTCTGCCATCCTTGAACAGTTCAGTGGAGCTGAAAAGGTGGAGAATGTGGATGTCTTAAAAAGTAGCTGTGAGCAGATTATTTTAATGATTTACACAGTTTTCTCTTCTTCCTTTTAGAAACCAGGTTTGCTGGGAGAACCTCCAACAATGCTCCTGCAGACAGTGCTGGGCATAGGGGTGATGCCAGCAGTGAACTCAGGCCTGGCAACACGAGGAGAAGCTCTCAAGTGTAAATGACATTTTTATTTCATCCCAAATCAGTAGAAATGCCCAGCTTCACATTATGCACCTGGCTTTCCCCCTGGGTAACAAAAGCAGGTTGTTAAATCCTCTGCTAGCTCAGTTACTGCCTTTTTGTGTACACTTGGAGTATGTTTTTATTTAGAGGTGACATTTTCTGGGTTTTTCAAAGCAGGTAAATGTGAGTTGCTTAAGAGGAACCACAAATTTGCTCTTTGCCTTCATTTTATTAAGAAATTAGTTTTAACAGCCAGTCTCTGACAGATGTTAATTTGGAATGCAAATTTCTGTGCCATTGATCCCTCAATATTTATGAGAAAAGATCAGTTGGATACTGGGGGTGCTCACCTGGAGAGGAGAAGCTCCAGGGAGAGCTCAGAGCCCCTTGCAGGGCCTGAAGGGGCTCCAGGAGAGCTGGAGAGGGACTGGGGACAAGGGATGGAGGGACAGGACACAGGGAATGGCTTTAAGCTGGAAAAAGGGGGATTTAGATGGATATTGAGAAGGAATTCCTGGCTGTGAAGATGGGCAGGCCCTGGAATAGAATTCCCAGAGCAGCTGGGGCTGCCCCTGGATCCCTGGCAGTGCCCAAGGCCAGCTTGGAGCACCTTGGGATAGTGGGAGGTGTGTCTGCCATGGCAGGGGTGGGAATGGATGATCCTTAAGGTCCCTCCTAACCCAAACCATTCCAGGATTTTCTGATCTTGTTTCCTCCACTGCTCCCTGTGTTCTGCAATCCTGGCTGTGCTCTGAGTCATGGCAGTAACCAGGAGCAAGGAAAAGGTATCCAGGAGAAGGCAGAAAGCTGCTCTAAATGTCCAAATTTTCATTTTGGAGAACACTTTCCAGCTCTTCAGTTAAAAGAATTCTTCCTGATGCCAGTTGAGGTGGGGTTCCCCCCTGTGTTCCCATCCAGCATCCTCCAGGATGTTGTTCCCGGTGTTTTTTTAAAAAATGACAGGAAGCACCAAGCAAGTTATCACACGGAATGTTTAGAAAAGTCAGAGTTTTATTGAATCAGCTTGAAATTGAGTTGTTTGCTTGTGGGATGAGAAAAGAACAAAACCTAGGGAAGTAGATCTGGAACAGTTCTCCTACCTCATTAACCCCACAACCAAACCCTCTCTAATAAATCCCATCTAACAGCAAAATTTCTCCATTTATGGCTGGCTGCAGCATCTAACCCCGCTCCCATTGCAGCAGCGGCAGGGATGGGCATGCTGCCATTCTTCCCAAATCAGCACATTGTTGGACAAGCTCTTCCCGGGCCCAACGCCGCTCCAGACAAAGGCGAGGCGGTGCCGGGAGCGCAGCCCTTCCCTCCGGCACTGCCCAGCCTCCCCGCCGGGGCCCTGCGTGCTGCCCCCTCCAAGGCTCCCGGGCAGCTCAAGAACTGCGACTCCAGCCTGGGGGTAAGGAGCATGCAGGACAAACACTGCCTCTCCCTCCTCTTCTGTCTCCTCTCCCTTCTCTCCTCTCCTCTTCTCTCTCCTCCTCCTCTTCTCTCTCTCCTCTTCTCTCTCTCCTCTTCTCTCTCTCCTCCTCTCTCTCTCCTCTTCTCTC